ATTTCGTGGCGACTGAAGCTGCCGTTTTTATTTACGGTATTTTCTTATACCGGATTCCGGGTTCTAAATTCAAATCTTTTTACTGTAAACTTCTTGAAATCATCGTTTTTCATATTTTTGATTTGATGTGAATGAAATGTCCCGCCTGCGCTGTCGGTGTACGCTAGCTGAGCACTACTACGAGTAAGACGTGATAGGTAAGGATGAAAGCAGGCCAGTTGGCCCATCGTGGACAACTCTACAAGATTATTCATGATAGTTTCCAGGGGGGACCGTGTGGAGGTCGACCTGATAGGGTATATTGCGAACAATGGGTCCCTCCCGCATTCTTTAACATTGTGTGTCATTGGCGTAATTACGATTATTTCCCAGAGAGGCATGAGCTTTTTAAAAAGTTATTGGTTTTGTCAAAATTCTGTGGTGAGCATCACACCTGAAATTATAGTCGCTTTTTAACTGACTTCAGAAAAGAGGTTCTCAATTTGGTTGTATAAAAAATATGTTTGCTACCTCTCTCAGTTGATAACTATTATTGTGAACTGATTATAGGAAAGAAAACGCCGGTTCGTGTTGAAGAGTTATACTGACAGTTTATAAAAAAAATGGAGTAATTAAAAGAATACAATATTTGAAACATAAATTACAAAGGAGTTTGTAACAACTACAATATAATTACATTCCACAAAAAAAAAAGAATTCGATTGTAGCAAAACCAGTTATTTTGTTTTTTATACTATATTACTAAACCGATTTTGATAAAATTTCTATAAAAGCAATTTGTAAGTTATATCATTTCAAATAAAAGAGAATTTTCCAAATCGGTTTACAAGTGACGGAGTTATGAGGTGACAGACATAAAAAACAAATCAAATGAATTGAGAAGCTACTTGTGTTTGAAATCGGTTGGAATAGGCTAATTATTACTGACTATGATGGTGATGCAGGTGACATAGTTTTTTGATGGGTAAAAATGGTATGGTAACCCCGCTTGCGCTAACGGGATACGCTGGCGAAGCACCAGTGAAGGGTGATCGATGAGAATGAAAACAGGCCAGTTAGCTCATCATGATGAATTCATCAGGAATTAACCATGATAGTCTCCAGGAGGAACTACGAGGAGGTCGACCTGCCAGGTATATTGCTAGCAATGGGATTTTTAGTCTCCATTACTATCAATCCCGGTGACATAGTTAGGTCGCGTTGTTGCGCTCCACAGTCGAGTGGGCAGCCGACGCCGCCTCGACATCGCGGGGTTTTCTCAATGTCGCCCGGTTCATCGCAATTATTTACGCACGACATCGCCCGCGTTCGCGTCGACATCTACATACATACATACATACATATAATACAACTGTACAGGTCGAATGTCTGTACATAGAAAAAAAACGCTAAAAACCGAGTCAGGGGGATGTTAGAAGTCAAATAGAACACACCTAGATTTTTTAAATTTTTTTGTTTCTCTGTCTGTTTGTACGGACTAATTTTTGAAACTGTTGACCGATTTAAATGAAATTTTGCATGTTGATACCTAACATCCCCGGTCAACTTTTTAAATACTTTTAATCACAGAAAATTAAAGAGTTCCCGTGGGATAGTTAAAAAAACTATGGTAACTTATACAGCTTAGTACACGACCTACTTGAGTAAATTCATCTTGATCTAAGGCAAAGAGTGAGAACGACACGTCATTTGGTCCAATATTTCCAGACATAATAAATAGGTAGGTACATACATCGATATAAACTAAACAGGAATAACAAATACCACGTGGACAAAGTCGCGGGCACCAGCTAGTTGGCAATAAAATTATGTTGCTTATAATCCTTTTACAGGCTACGATAACAAAATATATTAGAAAGCGGCTTATTAAAACCTATATCTGGAGTATAGCTCTGTATGGATGTGAGACGTGGACATTAACTCAGAAGAAAATGGATAAACTTGGAGCCTTTGAAATGTGGTGCTAGAGAAGGATGGACAAAATTAGCTGGAGGGATCGAATTAGCAATGAGGAGGTCCTGCTTAGGGTTAAGGAAAAAAGACAAATTATTAGAACTATTGAGGACAGAAGGGGAAAAATGTTGGGACACTTGATACGACACGACGAACTTATGAACATTATAATAGAAGGAAGAAATAATAAAATAGAAGGAAGGAGGGGGAGAGGGAGACCGAGACATAGTTACATCAGGCAGATCAAGGAAGGAGTTGGTGTCGTGTCGTATCAAGAGGTGAAGGGACTCGCTGAAAATCGTAGCGAGTGGCAAGAGCTCCACCGACAAGAGCGCAGCTCTTAAATAGGATAGATAGATAGATCGATAATTCATGTAGGTAATAAACCAACTTATTCTCTTATATTAGATCTGATACTGCTTAGCACTTTGTATTCACACACTTTCATAATTTACAAAATTAAACCCTTTGAAAAAAGCAACAGCTGAGTGTCTTGCCCGTTCTACTAGGCTGGAATTACCTTTTCGAATTGGCGGTAATGAAAAAAATAACTATTCAAAAATGTTTTAAACTTTACTTGATTTTTTTTATGCAACTTAGCTGCTAACGAACCACTTGATGTAAAGTGGTAACCGTCGCCTATAGACATGAGCAGTACCATGGATATAACAGAGTATACTGTTTCGCCCATGATACCCCCCATGCGTTGCCATTCCTGAGGACTCAGGTGTTATTCCTCTATACCCTGCCATATCCACCCTTCAAACCAAAACACAGCCATGCAAACACAACTGCTTCGCGGTAGAAACATGAATGGGACAGAGGTACCCAAGCAAACGACTTTTGTACAAAGTCTCATTCTGAATAAAAAATATTTCTTTCCTTCTTATTCTCATTAGTATTTCTAAGCTATATTGGATATGTATTTAAGTGTAGTAACTTTATTAGCAAAGTTTACATCACAACTATATGGTTGTTGATACAGAATTAAACTGTATTTTAATAGTAAAATTCAGTTTTATTCTATGGTATATCCATACATGGTACAGAGAGACTTTGTACAAAAGCCGTTTGCTTGGGTACTTCTGTCCCAATCGTGTGTTTCTTTCTGCAGTGAAGCAGTTGTGTTTGCATGGCTGTGTTTCGGTTTGAAGGGTGGGATATGGCATGAATTTACAGGGTACAGAGGAATAACACCTGAGTCCTCAGGAATGGCAACGCATGAAGGGTGTCTTGGTTTAGTCGTTAATGCGTTATAAGGTAGCAAACAAACTCATTGTCTCATTTATAATATTAGTAAATATGAAAATGACAGGTTCATTACCACACGGTGAAAGTTGGTGATTCCAACTACACGGTGCCAAGTTGATGATCCCTAGCCGCGTGGTCCCGGCATAGAATAGACCATCCCATCCCATCCCATCCCATCCCATCCCTTCCCTTCCCTTCCCTTCCCTTCCCTTCCTTTCCCGTGGGTGTAACTAAGAGAACTTAATGGTCAAGGGACGGACAGCAGCGTCTCTCTTAAAACACCACTAAAAGCCAAACTGCGCTTGCCAATTCGCTTACTAAGCGTAGCAACTACTGGTAAACCCCCTGATGGAGGAGACCATGTTCAGCAGTGTTTTAAGTTGTATGTATTTTTCAATGCTAAATCATAATAAAATAAAAATGGAAAAATTCGTCAAAAAAAATATATTTTGGGGAGGGTCACCCTTATCATTGAGGGGTATGAAAAATAGATGTTGGCCGATTCTCAGACCTACCCGATATGCACACAAAATTTCATAAAAATCGGTAAAGCCGTTGCGGAGGAGTTTGGTAACAAACACCGTGACACGATAATTTTATATATAAGATTTTAAACGTTCCTGTCATGAATGTAGAAACGGTTTACTTGTTTGGTAATCGTCACTGAGATACATAAAATAAATAATGACGTACTGTTTTCAGGTATACGTAGACTTGGTAAACGTAAGTCAAGCATAGATGTTTTACGTAAAAACTGTACTACATACGAACATATTGAAATTTAAACAAAAATTAACAAAATAAACAAGTAAGAACTCCGTAGACGGCTGGACAATGAACTGTACAGTCGAATGAGTACAATATTGCATTTTTTTAAGTAACCTACCAATACTTATGTTACTCCTGTGCTTCACAGGGACTTCTTAAATTATTATATATATAATTTATAATAATTTAATCACAATTTCTATTATTTATATTATTTTCCATTATTTACATTATTATTATATTGTTAATATCTTTATTCATTTAATGACATTTAATAATTTAATTTTACCAGAGGGAGACTGTACAAAAGTTGTTTGCTTGGGTACCTCTGTCGCATTCGTGTTTCAACCGTGAAGCAGTTGTGTTTGCATGGCTGTGTTTCGGTTTGAAGAGTGGGATATGGCGTGAATTTACAGGGTACAGAGGAATAACACCTGAGTCCTCAGGAATGGCAACGCATGAGGGGTATCATGGGCGAAACGGTATACTCTGTTATGTCCATGGTACTGCTCATGTGTATAGGCGACGGTTAGGTCTAGGTTAGGCACTTTGCATCAGGTGGGCCGTCAGCTTGTTTGCTATTCTAAGTTGTATAAAAAAAAAAAATCAAATTTAATGTTTGTCAAACACAAGGCACGCTGTGGTTGCCTATAAATGTAGGAACAGTTAGATCTAATCTATCAGTGTATTGTATTGAAATGTTTCGCTGTATCTTATGTTGGTGGTTCTATAAATAAATATATAAATATGTAATTTACGTTTTCATTCTGGGTTCGACAAAGATCATCACAGGCTTAGAAAATTATTAATGGTCCTTCTAGTCGGAGTATACATGAGTCGGATATGAACACGTTACTTATGGTCAATTGAGCCGGGGAGAAAAAGATTGTGATCCCTCAAGCCGGACAGAAACCGGCTAACGTCCTCCGAGTTGGATAATAAAAGTTATAGTCCTTCGAGCCGGATAAGAATCAGCTAATTATAGATCGCCAAGGTAGATATGAAGCAGCTAACGCTAGAGTACTTACCGTTAGCGTGGTGGTCGTGATGGTGGTGACGGTCAGCGTCGGCGGCGGCGGCGGCGGCGGCGGCGGCGGCGGTGCGGTTGTCGGGCTCGCGGCAGGCGGCGTCGACGCAGGCGGGCCGCTGGCAGCGCTCGCCCGCCCACGCCGCGCCGCACTCGCACCGCACCGCGCCCGCGCCCGACACCACGCACCGGCCCTGCGCACCGCCGTCGTTTTATTTAATCATACCTATCACTTTACGTATAAGCTATAACCGTACAAAGCTATTCGAACGTTTTGTTTGCGTATGCTATATGCAAGCTATATCTGTGTACATATATTTGAATAGTGTTGGTGCACCCACCTGGTTGAGGCAGTAGTCGAGGCAGAGCGCGTGCACGCAGGCGCCGCGCACGCACACGCTGTCGTTGCCGCACAGCGGGCCGCCCGTGCACTGCTCGCACCGCGCGCCTGCACCACACGCACCACACGTCACCACACCTCACCACAACCTCGCCACACATCACGGTATTATCTCGTCCCAAAGGTTATGTGGCAACAACATTTGTATTCATTAATAAAGTATTTCAAATAAAGCACATTACCAGTTCGACCGTATTTTCCATGGATATGTTATACAATATCTTTGAACGGACTTTGACGATGTTATCTGCTGTATTATAGGCTAACTATGATATTAGTTGGTAGTTACTTAATACGATCGTAACAGGGCTCGATCAATGAAATGGGTGATAATATATATAAATTGAAAATTAAATTATTTCAATGAAGCGAGTACTTATCGCAAATACGTTCACATTTGAAGATTGCAGGAAGTAGATTATAAGAAATAATCGTAATGTATTGAAGTATGTCTACGGTATAGATGAATTGCTTAGTTTGACACTCGACTCGGGTGTGACTAGGATATAGTGGATGGGATGGTGGAGGAGGAGAGGGAGGCGGAGTACTGACCGTGGTAGCCGTCCGGGCAGAGGCAGTGCGCGGAGTAGCGCGAGAGACGGCAGGAGCCCCCGTTCTCGCAGCGCAGGCCGGCGCACGCGTCCGCCGCCGCCGCCGCCGCACGCTCGCAGCGGGCGCCCCAGTAGCCGCTCGGGCACACGCACTGCCGGCACACAACGCACGCGGTCAGTGGCGCAGTCGCACGCAGGCGCACGCAGTCGCACGCGGGCGCAGCGGCCGGGCTCACCTTGAGCGGCGGCGGGTGCACGGAGGGGTCGCTGGTGTCGAGCAGGCAGCGGCCGCGGTGCAGGCAGTGCTGGTCGCAGCGCGAGTGCTGGCAGCGCGCGCCCGCCAGCTCGGCCGGGCACGCGCACGTCGGCGCCGCGCCGTCCGCCGCCGGCACGCACGTGCCCGCGCCGCACTCCACGCCGCAGCGGCGCGCCGCCTCGCCCTGCCCGGCCTCCCGCCCGCTGGCCACGTCCACGCCGTCCAGCGCGCTCGATATTACGCACTTCCGGTCCTCCTAGTGCGAGACAACGTTCATAATATTATACTTTCAGAACTACTCGTGTAAAGAATATAAATAAACGTGCATTTAATTCACTAACGTCGGGACTGTCAGACGTGGGCGTGAGGCCGTCCGGGCACAGGCAGGAGTAGGGCGCGTGCGGGCCGCCGTCGCCGGCCGCGGCCGCGCCGCGCACGCACAGCGCGCTCGGGTCGCACGCCGACCAGCCCTCCGACACCTCGCACGGGTTTCGCTCTGCATATAAAAAACAGAGGAGCAAATCGCAATACTTTATGTATCGCCGATCACGTGATCGATACCGAGGATCGCTAGTGGAGGCACTGACCGTCGGCGCGGGCGGGCACGAGCAGCGCCAGCGCGGAGAAGGCGCGGCGCACGGCGAGCGGCGGCAGCGGCGCGCGCAGCTGGCGGCGCGGCAGGCGCGCCACGCCGTGCGCCGTGCCGCACCACACCCACTCCTCCACCACGGCCATGCGCGCGCACGCGCGGCTCCACGACACCACGCCCGGCGGCGCCGTCTCTGCGTCGCACCGACCGCACGTAAGTAAGTACCCGCGCCAGCACACTGCGCGGCTAGCCACCAGCGCACACTCACCGTTGCGGTAGTCGAGCGCGCGCGGCGGGCGCGGGGGCCGCGGCGCGCCGCCGCCGGCCGCGTGCACGAAGACGGCGACGAGCCGCCGGTCGCCGCCGTCGAGGCGCACGGACTCGAGCGTGTCGTAGTAGGCGTCGACGAAGTAGAGGCGCGCGGCGGGCGCGTAGAGCGCGAGCGCGGTGGGGCGGCGCACGCGCCAGCGCACCAGCCGCCGCGCGCCGCCCGCGCCGTCCGCGCGCAGCGCCAGCACGCCGGGCCGCGCGCCGCGGTCCGACCAGAACACCGTGCTGCCGCACGCACGCACGCCGCTCGTTACTCACACCAATACACAGGCACGACCACTCGGCCGCAGTACTATTTATTTTTCACGTCGTATTTACATAATAAAATTAGCCGCGTAGTACTAACTCAAAAATTGTGAGATGCACGAAAGAGTATTTTTATTTTTTTTATTTTTATTTTTGTGATACAACAACAGATTACAAACAAAACTTTTAACAATAGAATACAACAATAGCATTATAAGTTTGCAATCCAAAAGTTGTACTCAACATTCACAGAGATGCAAAATAGGTTAATTTTTACTACAAAAAGAATTAATGATAAAAACTAGATACAAAACAAGAATCAAAAAGAAAACTACCAAACTATGCATAAAAACTATTAAGTTATGTTTCGTAAACGATCACATTTAAACATCGATGAATTAAAATTAAATTTAGGACATACGTAGTAGATTAGCACGTAAATAATAGATTATATCTTGACACTACGATTCGATTGTTACAAATGTGTGCGTGGAGGCACGCGTGTGTAATGTACCTGTTGTCGGGGTGCAGCACTATGTCGTCGGGCTCGGCGTCGTCGTCGGCGTACAGCGTGACGCGGCGGCGGCCGTCCAGCGTAGCGCAGTAAAGCGCGCCGCCGCGCGGCTGCAGCGTTGCCGTCCAGTACAGGCGTCGCGCCGCGCCGTCCACTGCCACGCTGCGCGCCGAGCCGCCCGCGGCCCCGCCCTTCACCTGCAGCGTACCGGCATTAATGTTACCGCCACGCTCGCGCTCCGGGTCGAACAGAGCAATATCATAGCGAATCGACGGTTTACAGGTGCTTTTATTTTTATTTATTTTTTTCACCTCGTTTATGACTAGTGGTGATATTACACAATGGTACTGGTAGTGGAGTATGCGCATACTCACGATGATGTCGACGTCGGCCGGCGGCGGCGGCGGCGGCGGCGGCGGCTGGGGCGGCGGCGCGGCGCCGTCGGCGGGCGCGGCGGGCAGCGCGAGGCGGGCGGTGCGCAGCGCGCCGTCGGCGGCGGCCCACCACACGCGCCACGCGCCGTCCAGCAGCGCGCCGCACACGCCGCGCACCTCGCCGCCCGGCCCGCCCTCCACCACGCTGCGCACACGCACCGCCGCGCATACTTAGAGCTTTAGCGGAATGTCAGTTTGTATACGAGAAACCTATTCACCCTAAACTTAAACTTGGCGGCACATACTGCACAGCGGCGAATAAATAAATAACGGTATTTCCTTTATCGTAATTAATAAATAAAAAAAAAGTAAATAAAATGTAACTTAAGAAAACACCAATATATTTTTCTTCTACCCCACTAATTGTCGACTAGTGATCGCTACAACATAAAAAATTTCACTCACGATAAAAAATTTCAATACGTATGGGTAAAGCATTCGAAAATAATGGTGAGAAAGTCGCCAACATCTCCAATAATCGTCATCAGGTCTGCAGGCGATCTTCTAAAATTAACCTAATTACTTTTTTTTATATTGTGTTTGCATATATATCATTATTGTTTACATTTAGTGATGAAGTCATTTGTATGTATTTGGTGCGGCATGGCGACAGGTTGAGAACCGTTATTACTTGTTTTTGTACTCTTATCGTGTGCCAACGTAATTCTAATGTACTCGATACATATCTGTCAGCATCATTTTTAAAATGTGTGTTTTGTTTTGTGTATGGATACACTTGCTATATGTTGTTGTTTGTCATGCGGTTTGTGTGGTTATCAGTGGTCTTGCAACATAGTGACCATTATGCATATTACGAGAACGCTTGCATCGACGTGTTATTCTCTTTACTGAGACTCTTAGTAACAAATGTGAAACTTTATGATAATGTGCAGGTATTGTTAGGATTTTTATTTAAACTATTATTTTACTCGTACTATAGCGATTATGAAATGTGTGGCGGTATAGCTATGCTCGATAGCAAACTACAACACGGACTACCGTCAAATAACCAGGAAATGTCAATAATTCTATTTTTAAATGGTTATACTTACGATTATTTAGGTCTTTTAATTAGTGAATTATTAACCTTAAGTCATTTCAGTGATTTGTGTAGTATCTACCTAGATAAGCGACTGTCAATAATGTATTCAGAATACTACTTTTATTATTATTACTTATTTCATTGTACCTGGACGCCCGCTGACAATGCTTGTACATTGTTTTTATACAACTATGTTTATAATATTAATGGTAGTTCTATCCCTTTCACCGTAATTTATTCAATATTAACACATCAAGTGAAATCATATACATTTATTTTATTCTTATTGTTATATAATTATTTTATTTATCATTCACCGTAACACTTAATATTTATTATCAGAACGCTCGAGGCCTACGCAGTAAGACTAGCACATTTAAGAGGAACCTAATGCTTAACAACTATGACGTGATTTCTATCACAGAAACTTGGCTATTGGAGGGGATAAAGGATGGGGAGCTCTTTGATGATAGATATTTGGTTTGGAGACGTGACCGTGACTATGTTCTGAGGGAACAGAATCGCGGTGGGGGTGTACTACTAGCGGTCCGAAGGGACTTTGCGGCGATAGAACGATGCGAGTGGCGATCCTCAGCGGAGGATATTTGGGTCACTCTTAATCTAAAAAATATAAACTCTTCACAAGTTATCAGGATTCATCTCTGTACATTATACCTTTGTGCTCAGAATCTAGGTAATTCCTTTAACACTCAATTAAATTTATTTTCCGAAAGCTTATTTAATATTGTAAATAACTCCATAAATAATAAATTTATACTAATGGGCGACTTTAATCTAAGTAACGTAGGATGGCTTCAAGATGATGGTAATTTAAAGCCAATTGGCATGACAGGGGAAAGTCAGGTTAGCTTCTTTGATACAATAAACCAATGCGGTTTATTCCAGTTTAACAACCACCTAATTCTGGTGGTAGAATTTTGGATTTGGTATATTCTAATGACTTTCTTGAGGTTCAACATGCTTGGCACCGCTTGTACCATATATATCCTTATATATATATATAATATATATATATGAAGTACTGCTTCAACACGGGTGACTATGACGCCATCTGCACGGAACTCGATGGCATTTCTTGGTGTAATATTCTGGACAGTTGTCCTCTTGATATATTTTACAAAAACATCTATGCGTTACGGGACAAACATATACCTAAAAAAAATATTAGAAACGACGGATTCCCAAAATGGTATAGCGCTGCTCTCAAAAAATTCTTAGAGAGAAACACAAGTACTGGCGAAAGTATAAAAATTATGGTAATATAAGTGACTATCACTCTTTTACTTTGTTAAGGAAAAGAGCGAAGAAGATTGAGTGTGATTGTTATAATAAGTTCATACAAAAAACTGAAAACGCTATAGTTAAAAATCCCAAATCGTTTTGGACGTATATAAATAGTAAATACTGATAACAATGTCTTACCGTCGATAATGACGTACAACAACCAAACGTTAGATTCAGCTCAAGCAATATGTGACGGCTTTGCTTCTTGTTTCCTTACAAACTTTCTTCCTTCTGATCCTACCAATTTGTCACTTTCACTACCGTTTACCTCAGATTCCTCTGTTGGTGATGTCATGATAGATAACAGTGAACTTTTAAAATTACTCAATGATATATATATATGATGTATCCCCGTTGCTGATTGCTCGCTGTGCTAAGAGTTTATGTTTACCACTTTCCATTCTATTCCAAAGATCGCTAAGAGAAGGTATCGTTCCGGATATATGGAAAAAAACATACATAGTTCCTATACATAAAAAAGGATCAAAATCGCAAATTGAAAACTTTAGGCCTATCTCTAAATTATGTCATTTTGCTAAAATCTTGAAAAAATTGTCCACAGGCAACTATCATGCATTAACAAATCCTTTATCATAGATCAACATGGTTTTATCAAAGGGCGATCCACAGTAACCAATTTACTTTCAAGTAATGAATATATCTCCTCAGCTATGGATATGGGTGATCAGGTGGATGCCATATTTACGGATTATAGTAAATGCTTCGATAGAATTGACCATCTGATACTTCTTCAAAAATTATTCATGGCAACCTTTTTCGATGGTTTTCATCATATATTAACAACAGAACTCAGGCTGTGACCCTTAAAGGATATATCTCATGCTGGCATCGGATACCCTCTGGTGTTCCTCAGGGATCGATCCTGGGTCCTCTATTGTTTGTTATCTTTATAAACGATATAAAGTCGTATTTCCACTACTCTACTATCTTGTTATTTGCTGACGATATGAAAATATTGGCTAGAGTACATGACATAAGCGACTGCCTACATCTACAAGAAGACCTTAAACATTTTGATAGATATTGTACGATTAATAAATTAGATTTGAACATAAGCAAGTGTCACATAATTTCTTACACGCGCAAAACGGTTCCTTTAAAATTTAATTATACATTGAAAGGTTCGCAGCTAGTAAGGGTTGATCATGTCAGGGATCTAGGGATCACGCATGATGCTAAACTCCTATTCGATATTCATATTGACAATATTGTAAATAAAGCATCAAGAATGCTCGGTTTTGTTATTAGGTCCTCCGCCAATTTCAATAGTTTGAAACCTATTAAGGTTCTGTATTGTTCTTATGTGCGTAGTTTACTCGAGTACGCTTCTCAGGTGTGGAATCCGTGTTATAATGTATATATTAATAGGATAGAATCCATTCAGAGGAGATTCATGAAGTACTTGCAATACAAGGCGCGAACTGATGATCCCAACTACGAATCCAGGTGTAAGCGATTTCATTTTTTACCTCTTGCAACTAGAAGGGATATAGCAGATGTAATATTGCTAGTCAGTATCGCAAGAGGTGATATTAATTGTCCTGAACTGGTTCAAAATATAAACCTTTTTGTTCCTACTAGAAATCGTAGGAAAACACCGTGTTTGTATGTACCGCGTTACAGAACCAACTTTAGGCGAAATTCATATTTCTGCAGAGCTCCAGTTAAGTTTAACAAATTATTGTTTGACCATGATATTGATCTGTTCCACACAAAGCCGCATGCAATTAAATTGCAGGTGGCAAAATCATTCTTTGGTTCTCGCCCTGCTGCACCTAATTGACTATTTTAGTAATGTTGTTTTGCTTTATATTACTTTTGTTTTGTTATTATATATCAAGCTAAAAGATGTCTCATCAAAATTTATAACTTTTTAATTATTATAGATGTGTGTATGTATGCGTGTGTATGTGTATGTGTGTGTGTGTGTGTGTGTGTGTGTGTGTATGTATATATGTGTATGTGTATGTATATATATATGTGTATGAATGTATGTATGTATGTGTATGTATGTATTTTGCATATATAAAAACCGATCATTGTCATCACGCAAATGTGAAAACGATTCATGGCTTAACATAGATATAAATTTGATTATGTATTGACTGTAATTCAGCTGTACGTTTTCCAAATAAATAAATAAATAAATAAATAAATAAATAAATAAACATGGTGACGTTGAATGCGCCAGGAACATGCGCGCGTGGCGGCGCTGGCCTCAGGCAGCGGCGGAGCGCGCAGTACGGTACTCACGTGTAGACGAAGGGCGGCAGGGGCGGCGGCGCCAGGGGCGGCAGGGGCGGCAGGGGCGGCAGGGGCGGCAGCGGCGGCGGCGGCGGCGGCGCGCGCTCGTGGCGGTGCAGGTCCCAGTGCAGCAGCACGCCGCCGCTCGCCACCACCAGCTGCGCCTGCGCACGCGCACCTGACGCACGCGCGCAACCACCGCGCTCAATTATATTTCAGTACATATTAAGGAAAACAATATTTCATCAAAGCGTACTAGATACAATGATGCACTTTTGCATCTCGGATTATTAAACAAACTAATGGAATGTAATACAAAAAAAATCAGAGACCGAGGTAAATGATATCATAAAATAATTAAGTGAAATAGTAACGATTACTGTATACAGACCAACATTAAGCAAATAAATATTAAAAGGAATAGACATACCTTGCGGTTCACAAGCAAAGCTTCCGTCAGATAGTTGTCGTTGTTTGTAGCCGGAGACACACCTGAATCAATATATAAATTTGAGTTAATGTGTGTATTATAAAGGTAGATATAAAAAATACAAGGAGCACTACAAAACGAGACGTAAAAAGCAGCAGATCAAAAGAGCTACATTATACAGACAACGAAGATGTAAGCTATAAAACAATGATGATCAAAATTATAGTCGAGGAAAGAAACAACAATCTCAGCAATTTTTTAGTTTATAAACAAAATTGGAGGTCCATGGGAAGAAGAAGCACTGACAGCAAAACTTAATCTTTCCATTCCAGTTCCCACCGAGTTCGCTGTCGCAATACTCACTTGCATGTGTAGTTGTTGTGTTTGGGCAGACACAGCTGCGAGCACGTGCGCCACGTGCACGGTCCCTCCTCTGGTGATATGCGAGACAGACAATTAATGATGTTAAAATAATTATAATAGGTGTGTTTGTATTAAGTATTTCAGGTCTAGATGTGTGTTTAAAGATCGATTTTCGTTAAATAAAAATTTTTAAGATTGCACTGTATGCTGATAGGTGTGAGTTTGCGAGTGACAGTATGAACAAGTGGGGATCACCTTGATGGCAGCCGTCGCCATTGGGTAGGCAGCGGCCGTCGTAGCAGCGTAGTTCTTGCGGCAGGCACGCGAGCGGCACGTTTGCCTCACCGGTACCCTCTATCTTGTCCAAGTGCGCCCGCCTCATACCTACCGGGGAAACAGGTTACAGATGATGGTTATAGATATCGGTTGATTAGCAATTATCATAAAATTGAAAGAAATCAAATACGTATATAAATACACCTCCCTAATACAAACGATGCTACATACTCGTCATATTTCCTTTTACATTACAAATATATATAATCAGTTGAAATGCAAGGTACTGACAGAGGTGGAGGTCCTCGTCGGCGCGGTCGGGGCAGTCCGCGTAGCCGTCGCAGAGCAGCGCGGGCGGCAGGCAGCGGCCGGCGCCGCAGCGGAACATGGGCGGCGGGCAGGCGTGCGCGGCGCAGGCGGCGGCGCGCTCGTCGGCGGCGTCGGCGCAGTCGGCGCGCCCGTCGCACGCCCACGCCGCCGGCGCGCAGCCCTCGCGCCCGCAGCGCAGCCGCGCGCCGCACGCCGCCGCCGCCGCCTCGCCAGCCTCGTCCGCCTCGCCCGCCTCGCCCGCCCCGCACGACTCCTCGTCCGAGCCGTCGCTGCAGTCCACTTCGCCGTCGCACCACCACTCGCTGCAATCAACCCTTGCCGGCTTACGATGTCACACCCTCGTCGCGTCACGTCTAGCTTTATACTCTACCTATAGTTAGTGGCACTACTCGTAAGCGTTGTTTTGTTGTCATATTGTATGAAAACAAAGTTGTAAAATTAGTTTAAAGTAGCGCCGAAGTACTCGTAAATTGACATCCTTCTTAGATCACGCTTTATTGGTATTCAATTTCTGAACATAATTAATTATAATTCGTTGTAAACGCAAGAACGAGCGCGTTATATGGTTGATATTTCAAACGTCTACGAATTGAGTACGTAACCGTTTACCATCAGACAGCTTGTAAGCTGTACCACAAAAAAATATATAAAAATAAAACAAATAATAAATAGTATATTCTGCTATACTGCAGCGGCCAGCAACTGAGGCATTAAAGGACGAACGTGCAAATGTGGGCCGAGGCGTAGCCGAGGCACACATACGTGAATCCATTAATGCCTAGTTGTGGTCAAGGCTTGTATAGTACTTTTCTCAAACAATGCGCGGAAATCAAAAACCCAATTTCACTTTTTAAGTTCAATGACAAATAACGAACAATAATAATTTTTCATGCGCCATAATGTTCCTTTTTTTTCAATAAACAACTTTCTATTAGCAAGCCAGTTTGAAATTTAAATAGTTAAGTTACCTCCTTGGTAGCCATGTTTCGAAGTAAAAGGTCATGAGTTTACATAGTAATTTATGTGGCTGCAAAACACGACAAATATGGATTTTCATACAATTTTTGCAGGCCGCTGCCCGCATGTATCTGACCAGGACGGCAATTTTGAGTTATCTCGAAGAAGATTGTCAAAATAATGCTCACTCATTTCCAAGCAGGTTTGAGAAAAATAAATATTACACTATGACAATCTGTGCACAAAGTACAGCGTAAAACTGAACATATAATGGTCCTTCGAGTCGGATTCCCAATGAATGTTTATAGGCATGGTGGTGAGCGTGGCAGGTACCTGAGCACGCACTGGTCGAGGCGCGCGCAGCGGCGGGCGAGCGGGCCGCACTCGGTGCAGCCCAGCTCGTCGGCGCCGTCCGGGCAGTCGGCCACGCCGGAGCAGCGCAGCGCGCCGCCGATGCACACGTGGTTGCCGCAGCGGAACTCGGTCTCGGAGCAGTTGCGCGGCGCGCAGCCGAGCTCGTCGGCGCCGTCGCCGCAGTCGTCCTCGTAGTCGCAGCGCCAGCGGCCGGGCAGGCAGCGGCCGGCCGGGCAGCGGAAGTAGGTGGGGTCGCAGGGCGCGCGCGGGCCGCAGCCGCGCTCGTCGTCGCGCGCCGGGCAGTCGGGCTCGGCGTCGCAGCGCCACGCGCGCGGCACGCAGCGGCCCGAGCCGCAGCGCAGCTCGCCGCGCGCGCAGCGCCGCGCCGCGCACCACGCGCCCTCGTCCGACCCGTCCGCGCAGTCCGCGTCCGCGTCGCACGCCCACACCAGCGGCACGCAGCCGCCGCCCGCGCACGTGAACTGCGCCCAGCACACAACAACCTTCGCTTTACGCTAAACTGGCCCGCCCGAGATAAATAATTACAAGTAAACGAGCGCAGCGCACGTACGTGGTGCGGGGGGCAGGTGCGCGGCGGGCAGTCGAGCTCGTCGTCGCCGTCGTGGCAGTCGCGCCGCCCGTCGCAGCGCGCCGCCGCCGCCACGCAGCGCGCCGACACGCCCGCCGTCGCGTTGCCGCTGCACTTCCACTGCGACGACAGGCACGTGAACTGCAACCGCGCCCGGCACGTGCTGTACTCGTAATCGCTTCTAACCACGAACTCACATTGAAGAGGGCATAGCATGGTCTAGGTACCGTGTCGCAGTCGGTCTCGTCGCTGCCGTCGCCACAGTGCTGCACGCCGTCGCAGATGGCGGACGGGTGCGCGCAGCGGCCGTTGTTGCACTGGAATTGTCCGGGCGAGCAGCGGAACGGCGGACACGTGTCCGGCTCGTCCGACCCGTCGCCGCAGTCGTCCTGCGACCGACGCGACATACCACGATGTATCAATTCGTAAAATTTTATTTACTTATTTAAATTTTACAAAGAATTGTAAGTGATACCTAAGATTTACGATCAGGAAGACCACCGACCTGTTTGTCATTCCAAGTCATATAAACAAAATGTGTCGGAAAGTATCGAGGTAAGCGGTACTGGTAGTATGAGTGTATGTCTATCTAAGAGTGGTAGATATAAGGAGCGGTACCTGGGTATCGCAGCGCCACCAGAAAGGTATGCACTTGAGTGTGGTGCGGCAGACAAAGTGCGCGGAAGTGCAGTTGGGAGTGCACGTGCGGCCGTCCGGCTGCAGCACGAAATGCTCCGGGCACCCGCACCGCGCCTGCGCCCGCACAGTTCTTTCTCCCGTATCCGCACTCTCCTCTAGCGGTGACAGCAGGCACAGTCCACTGCAGTTCAGCGCGGCACACTGGTCCGACAGTTCTGCGGGGACGGTAGGGAAGAATAAAAAAAATTAAACATATCAGGTACAATATCGGCGTGAGGATATGTTGGGTCCTAGTCTATACCCGGTATGGGCGGCTGCCGTGCGGGATGCAGCACGCGTAGGTCCATGGGCTTGTGCACCGTGTGTGCGAGTGTGCGGCACTCGTACGCGCCGCCCGCGCCGTCTTCTAGTTTCGTTTCGGACGTACCCTCGGTGAGGGTCGCGTTCATTTTCTGCACAATTTACACAAAACGTTTGTAGATGGCATTTTCTGTTATTTTAAATAAAAAAAACTGTGGTTAAATACTCTCGTAGTTGATTTTTATCGCTTTAGCAACTGATACAATTATTTTTTTAACTATCAAGTGTTTTAATATTGCGGTCCTTCGAGCCGGATATTACCAGTTTATAAATAGAGACATTTTAATCAAAACAAGTTGCTAGAAGTCGTTTATACATATTATAATTTTCCTATCATATTTTGAAAAACTTTATGACGCGACAAAGTAGGAGTGTACCCGGTAGTGGTCAGCGCGCGCGGGCCGGCGGCGGCAGGACTCTAGCGTGCGCGTCTCCCAGTCGCTCCAGTACACGCGGCCTTCCCACACCGCCAGCGCGAACACGTGGTGCAGCCGCAGCCACGGCATGCGATCTGCGCATGCGTAACAGACAACGATCAAGTTATTTCCATGCTACTTATAGCTTTAGAATTCAAATCACCGCTATTCGATAAATAAGTTTCTACATATACATAAATATTAATGGACACCTTCATAAACAACTCAAAGAGATAAATCGAATGACTGCATTGTTGTATTACAAGTTTTAAATTCATGAAGACTGAAATGTAGCAATAAAATTACTGAAATACTTAAAAAATCCCTCGCGTCACAAAAGTCGGTAGCACTCGAAATGACGTCTATAGTATTACAAGTGTTTACAATCCGCTGTAGCCACCTTGTATAAGAGCATCGTATGCTTAAATGCCAGCGTCCTGCTACAATAAAAGATGAATGGTGCGAGCGCATAGTTACCCCTGGAGAAGAGTATCCGCACCCTGGTGCCGTCGAGGCGCGCTACGGCGATGTAGTCCTCGTGCGCGTCGCCGAAGTAGAGCTCGTTGGTGGCGTGCGAGACGGTGAGCGCGTTGGGCCACTTGAGGCCGCGCCGCACGATCACCGCGGGCCGCGACCCGTCCATGCCCGCGCGCCCGATGTGCGGCTCCGCGCCCCAGTCCGACCAGTACAGCGTGCTGCGCACCCGCCACCACCACTCAAATATTTGTTGCACCACCTAATATTTAACTAAACACCAGCTAATACTACTACTACTACCACCACCACTACTACTACTACTACTACTACTAGTGGCTGTGGATTTTTTCTAAGGACTGATTAAACAGCTAATTAAAGGTATTATGTATTTTTCGTATGCGTTTTCTTTCTCTTGAAATGGTATTTTGGAATTTTATTCCTTAGTTGTCTCGTAAGACATCGGGATGCAAAAAGAGTACGATACGATATGTAATCTATTGTGTTGTTTATATGCCCATAGATTACGGTTATCACTTTCTCCTCGAATATATAGTATTATCACAAGAATAAAAAACAGTAACCAGAAGTAACAATACTATTAATTCAATAATATAGACGCGACTTTAGCTGTACGCCATGTTAAACATCTTTAATGACGGTATATACTCGAAAAGCTTTAGCCGTGTCGGTGTGTAGTGTGTAGTGTGTAGTGTATAGTGTGTAGTGTATAGTGTGTAGTGTATAGTGTGTAGTGTGCGGCGTGCGGTGCGTACTGACCCGGTGTGCGGGTGCAGCGCGAGCGAGCGCGGCTCGGCAAGACCGCGACGCAGCAGCACGCGGCGGTGGCGGCCGTCTAGCCGTGTCGGTGTGTAGTGTGTAGTGTGTAGTGTGTAGTGTGTAGTGTGTAGTGTGTAGTGTGCGGCGTGCGGTGCGTACTGACCCGGTGTGCGGGTGCAGCACGAGCGAGCGCGGCTCAGCGAGACCGCGGCGCAGCAGCACGCGGCGGTGGCGGCCGTCTAGCCGTGTCGGTGTGTAGTGTGTAGTGTGTAGTGTGCGGCGTGCGGTGCGTACTGACCCGGTGTGCGGGTGCAGCGCGAGCGCGCGCGGCTCGGCGAGACCGCGGCGCAGCAGCACGCGGCGGTGGCGGCCGTCTAGCCGTGTCGGTGTGTAGTGTGTAGTGTGTAGTGTGTAGTGTGCGGCGTGCGGTGCGTACTGACCCGGTGTGCGGGTGCAGCGCGAGCGCGCGTGGCTCGGCGAGCCCGCGGCGCAGCAGCACGCGGCGGTGGCGGCGTCTAGCCGTGTCGGTGTGTAGTGTGTAGTGTGTAGTGTGCGGCGTGCGGTGCGTACTGACCCGGTGTGCGGGTGCAGCGCGAGCGCGCGCGGCTCGGCGAGACCGCGGCGCAGCAGCACGCGGCGGTGGCGGCCGTCTAGCCGTGTCGGTGTGTAGTGTGTAGTGTGTAGTGTGTAGTGTGCGGCGTGCGGTGCGTACTGACCCGGTGTGCGGGTGCAGCGCGAGCGCGCGCGCGGCTCGGCGAGACCGCGGCGCAGCAGCACGCGGCGGTGGCGGCCGTCTAGCCGTGTCGGTGTGTAGTGTGTAGTGTGTAGTGTGTAGTGTGCGGCGTGCGGTGCGTACTGACCCGGTGTGCGGGTGCAGCGCGAGCGCGCGCGGCTCGGCGAGACCGCGGCGCAGCAGCACGCGGCGGTGGCGGCCGTCTAGCCGTGTCGGTGTGTAGTGTGTAGTGTGTAGTGTGTAGTGTGCGGCGTGCGGTGCGTACTGACCCGGTGTGCGGGTGCAGCGCGAGCGCGCGCGGCTCGGCGAGACCGCGGCGCAGCAGCACGCGGCGGTGGCGGCCGTCTAGCCGCGACACCTCCACCGTGTCCGTGCCCTTGTCGCACCAGTACACGTTGCCAGCCACCCAGTCCACCGCCAGCCCGTCCGGGTTCTGCAGCGTGCCGCCGTGCAGCAGCTGCGGGACGGACCACACATGTCGTATACACTTCAACAGGTATACACGACCGTACAATAACGACCAGACGATCGAATTGTAATTTAGATTGCTTTTTATTTCTTTAACTAGTTTGAATAGAAATTGATATACTATTTGTCAAAATAAAAAAAGAGCAAAATAAACTAAATCAACAAAAATTTATGTTATAATTACATATAGGGAATGCTCAACCTGGTATCCGTCAGAAACCGGCTCGGCGGTGGCAGCCGTGTCGGCGGCGTGTGAGCGGTGGTGAAGGCCGCACCAGCGACGGATGGCGCTGCCCATGAGAGTGACGTCGCTCCAGTAGAGACAGCCGGCGGCCCAGTGTAGGTCCAGGGCTACGGCGTTGGTGAGATTGCGCACCAGCAACGACGTCGCCTCCGCGCCCGCCCGCAGCCACGTGCGCCGGATGTAGTACCGGTTAGTGAAGATCAGCGACGCCGGCACCGCTGCCAACAAAAATTTATTTGTTGATAAAAACTTATGTTTATGATCTGTACAAGGTCGCGAAGCGTGTACAAGGTGAAGGTGTGCGAGGTAGCAGCACAGCTCGGTACGTACGCGACACGGGCGCGCAGCTGGCGCCGTCGTCCAGCAGGCGGTACCCGTCCGCACACGAGCACACGAAGCTCCCCACTGTGTTCCTGTGCATACAACATATACACGTACTATAACATGGACAAAGATATAGGCTACTTTTTACCTCGGTCGGTAAATAAGAAGTTTATATTCTGATCATACGATCAAAGTCGCGGATAAAAGCTAGTATTAAATACATATGTTGATAGTGAGAGGGATGGTAATGGAGGCACACCTGCACCGGTGGTCGCAGGGTTCGTCCTCGGCGCACTCGTCAACGTCGACGCAGGCGCCGGCGGCGGCGCGCCGCCAACCGCGCCGGCACCAGCACGCCGCGCCCACGGGCAGGTCCGTGCAGTTGTGTGCGCACTCGCCGTTACGGATCAGGCACTCGTTGATATCTGCGGATATGGAATAAGTAATGTACCGTAGCGACGGCCGAGATGTAGATAAAGTACGCGACAGGATCTGGAGTAGTTTCATATGTAGATTCCACGGGTAAACAATAATGACCACAAACGTCAACAAAGTGACTTTTTATCGACTTTGATTGAACGGGCGAGTCGGGTACAGATCTCAAACAATTGTTATCACTTGAATTCGTAGGTGTAGACAAGTGCAGGTGTGCGAGTATAGGGCAGGCGCGAGGACGTACTGCAGCGCCACTCGTCGCTGTAGTCGCCGCAGTTGTCGACGCCGTCGCAGAGCCGGTCGCGCGCCACGCACGCGCCGTTGCGGCACAGCCACTCGTCGCGGCCGCACCGCCCGCCGCCGCCGCCGCACCGCGCCCGCCACCAGCGCGCCGCGCCCGAACGACGACACGAACGAGCCTGCGCACAGAAAATTATACATATATATACATTTATATAATCCGCAAACATAGGCAAGTAACAAGACATTGTAGCAAAGTAGTAATTCAGCGCAAACTAAAAAGGATTTCCGAAACTGTATCGTATAGTTTAATCATATTTTAATTCGGCTCGAAGGACCACTTCATGAGCGAATTACCCGTCCGTCAAAAGTCGAATAGCTCAGCTTTTTAACATAATATATATGTATGTCGCTTCTTTTCACGATCGATGTTTGATTGTTACTTTTACTATAGCACAACAGTTTTGATATAAAAGTGAGAGAAGCGTGTACTGACTGCACGTGTGCGGGTCCTCGTCGGTGCCGGCGCCGGCGCCGCCGCCGTCCTCGCAATGGTCGCGGCCGTCGCACACGAACACGGCGGACAGGCAGCGGCCCGCGCAGTACACGGCGCCGGCCTCGCCGCCGCAGCGCGCGCCGCCGCCGCCGTCGCCCGCCTCCAGCTCCGCGTCGGCGCCTGCGCATCCAGCCGGCTCGTCCGACCCGTCCTCGCAGTCCGCGTCCCCGTCGCAGTACAGATTCTACCGCACAAACCGAATAATTATTTATTGATATGCTATTAGCATATCATTTGGAACTATAATAATAAAGTGCATTCAAACAAGAGCAACGTCTATACATTTGAAATGTCATACATGAAACGGCTGTAATATATTGATACAACAAAATAGAAAATCAACGCTCAGAGTTGCATGGAGGCGTAATTGTAGTAAAACACGTGTCTTGGAATGAATTTGCCTTGTTCGTGCCGCGCTGCACCGTCGGAGAGTATAGACCTAATGTCTGACACTTCTAAGAGTACGACTGTAAAGAGTAAAGGGGGGTATACGCACCGGTTCCAGGCACGTGTCAGAGTGTGCGCACTTGAAGTTGCCGGGCGGGCAGCCGCAGCCGGCCTCGTCGGCGCCGTCGGCGCAGTCGCGCCGCCCGTCGCAGCGGCTGCCCGCCGCCACACACTCGCCCGAACCGCACGCGAACTGCGCCGCCGTGCAGTTGCCGATCACCACTGGCGACTCTGCGGACACGCACCGCTACTACATGGCCACTCTCTACTCCTCCCTCGACCTCGATCTCACCCCATTTCCTTCATCAGCGACTGTCGAGTGTAAGTGATGCAAGTAATCACTTACATAAACGTCATCTATTTATGTAGTATATAGAATTATGGATTGTGTTCGTTAAACTACCTAAGCTAGTTCGAAAACACTTAAGGATGTCATACGAACAGAGAAAATTACAAGTTGATGTTGAAAATCGTATAAATAATCACTTTAAAACAAACCACGAACGACGTTAGTGTTCTTCTGTAAAGATATAATCATCATCATTATCTCGGCCATCCATCCAGCAATCCACTGCTGATCATAGGCCTCCCCATAGAATGCCATACAGCTCTTTTGTAAAGACAACACATTATCCACTAAGTTCACGATTTCGTATTAAAAAAATTAAAAGCCTTAATAAATAATATCAATAATAAAGGACCCAAAAGAGACCCTTGTGGAACGGCCGATAGTATCACATATATAGTCTATCCTGTATTACAATACACCATAAGAAGTTAAGAGAGACAGACAGTTTGAAGGTGAAATATTGTATGTATCGGGTGACATAGTCGTTGTCCCGGAGGCTGCGACTTACCGCAGTGCGGCCCCTCGTCGGAGCCGTCGGCGCAGTCGGCGCGGCCGTCGCAGCGCCAGCTCAGCGGCACGCATTCCAAGCCGCCGCCGCCGCCGCCGTCCGGCGCGCCGCCGCCGCCGTCCGGCGCGCCGCCGCCGCACCTCCACTCGTCCGGCGAGCAGCTCGTCAGCTCCTCCTCCTGCTCCGCGCTCATGGTCGTTACTGGTTTTGGGAAAACAAATACATATAACATTGTTCCGTTACATTGAGAGATTGTATCGTTAGTAATAACTAGGAGTTCGGGCCGATTTCACACGGCTAGATGGATAGATAGGGAACTTGCACTTTGTATTAATTTTAAGAGGCATTTTTTTTTACTTTGTTTTCATTATTTCAGCCGTTAACTGTCCACTGCTGAACATCAGCCTGTTCCATAAGGGGAGCTTTGCCATTAGTTGTCACGCTTAGCAGGTGGCTTGGCAACCGCAGTTAGGCTTTTAGAGATGTTTTAAAAGACATTATTGTAATATTTGCACGGATATTTAATTTTTCAAAAAAAAAAATGAATAAAATATCTGTGTTACTCGGAGATAATGTATTTTTTATAGCTAAAAGTATTTTTTAAATCAAGTAGTTTTTGAATTAATTCATTACAAGCAATAATTTTTTTTTTTATTATATTGGTACAGATAGACGTATAGATTGAGTAAATTGATTTGAACAAAGTATAATTTGAATTGAATTGAAATGACATATCAATAAGAATATGTTGCAATTCATAAAACGGCGTTTTATGGATTCGTAGTAAAATAGAGTGAATGAATTTAAAGGTGGGCAGGGGAGGCGTACTGGGCGGGCAGTTGTCCTCGTCGGTGCCGTCGGCGCAGTCGGCGTGTCCGTCGCAGCGCCAGGCGGGCAGGTAGCAGCCGGCGGCGCGGCAGGCGCGCGCGGCCGGGCCGAGCGCGGCGCAGGCGGCGGCGCCGCAGCCGCGCTCGTCGGACGCGTCGCCGCACTGCGCCGCGCCGTCGCAGCGCGCCGCCAGCGCCACGCACGCGCCGTCCGCGCACGCGTACTGCGCCGCCGCGCAGCCGCAGCCCGCCTCGTCCGAGCCGTCGTCGCAGTCGCCGCGGCCGTCGCAGCGCGCCGCCGCCGCCACGCAGCGCCCGCCCGCGCCGCACCGCGCCGCGCCCGCCGGGCACGCGCGGGACGCTGCGCACGACCACGACCACGCTCTCATCACCACAACACCAACTACACTACATCTCCTCGGATGTTGTGTACTAGGTGCGAGTAGCGAGTAGCGAGTAGCGAGTAGCGAGTAGCGAGTAGCGAGTAGCGAGTACTGACTGCAGTAGTAGAGGTCCTCGTCGCTGGCGTCGGCCGAGTCGGAGCAGTGCGGCACGCCGTCGCAGACGAGCTCCTGCGGCAAGCACGGGCCCTCGGCGCACGCGAACTCGGCGGCGGCGCAGTGCGCGGCGGCGGGCCGGCAGGCGCGGCCGTCGGCGGCCACGCGCCGGCCCGCGCCGCACGCGCAGCGCGCCGCGCCCGCGCCGTCCGAGTAGCACGCCTCCGCGCAGCCGCCGTTGCCCGCCGCGCACGCGTCCGCCGCGCAGCTCTGGTGGTCCGGCGCGATGGCGACGATAGCCATGGGGCGCGGCACGTCGCGCCGCAGCGGCGTCACGACGCCGGCGAGCTTGTCGGCGCGGTAGACGGCGTGCGACACCCAGTCGGTCCAGTACACCCAGGCGCCGCGCACCGCCACGTCGAACGGGTGCTCGGCGCGCGCGCGCGTCACCACCTGCGCCCGCGCATGCCACTGCCGTTACCGTACCGCGCTTACCAGAGATCCGGGACATTTGGACATATCAATGTACAGTTTGCAACAAACACTTCAACACAACCATAAACGTCCATTCGCCAGTTGAAGAGATCCAAATATGGGGAAGCCTGCGTCGTGAGAGCGGCTATGAAGGCTATGGTCTCGTGATTTGTGGATAGTAACAATATATGTTAAACAAATAGGGAATTGTACATTCACCTACTTTCATACTAAACTTCGTTTCTTCTTTGTTGATATTTATTATCAATTATTTTCAGTTCTCAGATGTTTTCCTTTGTATAAGCCTAAGTCTACCTTGATTCAGAACACGAGTTACTATTGACACTAATCAATACATAAAGATATATATATATATTAAAATATACAATAAAATATTACATAAATACTAAATACATACACTCTAAGTAAATATAATAATACCTTTCAACTTTTTCTTGAAAGAGGCAATAGAAGGACTCTTATATGTGGGAAGGGAGTTTGTTCCATAACTGGGCAGTTCGATACGAGAAAGAGCTGCCCATTCAATGTGTCCTACACAAAGGAAGCTCGAGCATCCTGGACTGAACTTGACAGGAGCGTTCAGGACGAACTGGTGGTGGTAATACTCGTAATATAAACCGGGAGCGGAGGTACGGTGTTTACGTATTACGATGTACGTAATCCTGGCAGTGTTTGTTTGTTATGACGTCACAGCAACACTGACTACTACTGGCCAAACAACCATTACCATGTAGGGAGAGGGGGAGATTGTTAGTAATGAAGGGCCCAATTGCTAGCAATATACCCAACCAGGTCGATCTCCACGTGGTCCCCCAGGTAACCGTCGTGCCGAATTCTAGGCGTATTCATGACGACAGGTTAACTGACCTGCCTTCTCATGCATGCAGTTATCATGTGTCCCTGGTACCCACCAGTGACAGGTGGGTGTGTACGGTACAGTGTACGTACGTGTCGGTGCGAGCCGTCGTAGTTCATGCGCTCGATCTTGTCGAGGCGCGCGTCCGCCCAGTAGATCTTCTTGGCGGCGTGGTCGAGCGCCAGCCCGTTGGGCATCAGGATGCTGGTGGACACGATGGTCTGCAGCCCGCGCCCGCTCACGTACGCGCGCTGGATGCACGGGTGCGACTCGTTCCAGTTGGTCCAGTACAGCCGCCTAGTGTTCAATGCACAGTGCAGTGCCGCCTGATTGCGACCGCTACCTTACAAGCGCCTGCATTTAACGAGGCGCGGTACAAAGTAAACAGATTGAATAGCTCACAGCGTAATGTACTTTCATGACTTTTGTAGTGCACGTTTACGGCACGCTGTTTATACCATCATCATTTCAGCCGTTAACTGTCAACCGTTAACCGCTGAATCTGTCCCATAAGAGGAGTTTTGCCAGTAGTTGCCACGTTTGGCAGGCGGATTGACAACCGCAGTTAGGCTTTAAAGATGTTTTAAGAGAGATGCTGCTGCCCTTCCGTCGCCCTCCCTTAGTCGCCTCTTACGACACCCACGGGAAAGGAAGAGGTGGTTTATTTTATGCAATTACTACAGTAGCAACTACTACAGGGCGGAGTTCCTCAATACGGAAAGGTCAATATACAGCAGTACACAGATAGCGGCAGACATGATGTACACAGGTAGAAATTCAACGAGATAAATTTACCAAATCTGCTCTCCTAAACATGTAACATACGAATTTATCGATAGACACATTAACGTTACCACGTATATAAAACGAGACAGCGAGATCCAGAGCCTTGTTCCTTTTCATACATATATTAACATATAAAGTATTTACTGATAAAGTCGTTTGTGATTATGTAGACAGAAGCAAACGATATATGTGAAATAGTGTGTCGTGACACCCGAGTGAGCCCGAGCCTCACTGAGGCTAGCGACACCTAGAGGGTGTAGTGCACATACAGCGGCGGAGTGGTACCTCTCGCAGACGTCGATGTCGATGCCGCGCGGGTGGTCGCCGGGCGGCAGGCGCAGCACGGTGCGCGGCTGCGGCGCGGCCCGGCCCCGCTGTCCCCGCCCCGCCGCCGCCGCCGCCCCCTGCACGTGCGCGCCGCGGATGCTGGCGGCGCTGTTGCACGTCCAGTACAGCCAGCCCGACTGCCACTCGTACACCATGCCCTCCACCGCGCCCACCTCTGCGACCGCGATCGCAATCATTCGACGCTTTTATAGTCACACACCATACAGTGCAGCGAGCCTCTCCATGGAGACTACGTCTAGAAGTACTCATGAGCTGATACAAAGCGAGGCGGACATGCAGCCACCCAGATCACGAGCAGCCAGAGTGAAGGAGACGACGTGACTCACGGTCTATGAGCAGCTCGTGCTGCGAGCCGTCGAACAGCACCGTGTTGATGGAGCCGCGCTGGATGTCCGAGTAGAACAGCCGCGACTCATTGTACGAGTACGCCAGGCTGATCGCGTTGCGCATCAGCTCCCTGCGCGCGCGCACACATACACAACGCGTTGCGGGAACAAAAGACATACATTGAAAAAACTTGTTTTGTGAAGACACTTGTAGAAAGACCTTATTTTATAGAAGCTACATTGTTTGTATAATTGTTTAAATTTGGAAAAGTAAGATAGCAATAATAGTAGATGTCAGAAACTGTAACGATACAAAGAAAGTAGACAGACAAATATGGCAATAGCACTTTTCTTTTTCATTGGTTATCATTTTAGGCGTATAAAATTTTGTGATCCTTAGAGCCGGATCTTTTCTGCGCAGAAATATTATTAGATAACAACGTACTTATTTTGTATGGAGGGGTAGGGCGAGTTGAGGTCCTTCTCGTCGGTGAGGTGAATGCTCTCGATGCTGGTTACGCGCGAGTACATCAGGAATGACTCGTACGCTACACACGACGAGTTATATTGTAATAATATAAATTATTTTTTAAAAGTCAATACGAGGTAACATGGGTTAGTGCCGTATGTGGCCTGGGTCACTCACGCGTGCAGTTCTTGCCGTCGGACGCGAGGTCGCCGTGCGGACAGGCGCAGCGCGGCCGCGTGCCGTCCCACAGGCACAGCGCCGCGCAGCCGCCGCCGCCGCCGCAGCCGCCGCCCGCCGCCGCCGCCGCCGGCCCGCCCGCCGTCCGCGCCGCGCTCGACCATATCTGCGGGCGGCGCGCTACAGTGCTATACGTACGAGGCTACACTCATAATGAAAGTTCAAACATTTCTATACTATCGTTCTCTGATATGAGATTCCAAAACTGTAATTCCACTTGCAAAACGTAAGTTCTTTATATATGTTTTAGAAATTAGTAACACTTACAAATATGTCTTTGAGTGTGTCCCCGAGGTTGTCGCGCAGCACGCGGTAGTCACTCATGTTGGTAACCGGCGCCGCCAGCACACTGCCGTGTTGCACCATCCTGCCGAGAGACGGTCGCAATAGTAATAAAAAAATTTTAAAAGTAAAAAAAGGAAAGGACGGTATAGTGAAGAGAAAGAGAGTAGTACATAATGAAGAGGCGCGAAATGAGTAATTAGAGTAAGGAGTAAGAAGATCGGTTAAGAGATTGATAGTTACGTGTCGAGCCAGTAGATGGTGTCGGCGTGAATCGCGAGTGCGGCGATGGCGAGGCGGCGCGGCGCCGCCGGCCGCGCCAGCCGCTCGCGCGCCGAGCCGTCGTAACGCATGCGCCACACCGATGCCTCCCACGTGTCCGCCCAGTAGACCATTTCGTTCTGCGAACAGCGGCGAAACCGTGCTTTACTCCCGGTGTTCCGAGGCCGCGACGTGCAGGGGCAGCGTACGTACCTGCATGTCGAGTGCGATGTCGCCGACGGCGGTGCCGTTGTGCAGCAGGGTGCGCTGCGAGCCGTCGGGCCGCGCGCGCTGCAGCCAGCCGCCGCCCGCCAGGAACAGCCAGCCGCGCGCGCCGTCCACCGCCAGGCCTGCAACACGCCGCGGCCGTTACGCTGCGCTCTACGCCTGCCTGCGCCGTCGGTCCCGAGTATACCGAGTACGCACTGGTGACGGCGAGCGGGTCGGTGTCCAGCAGCACGTAGCGGTGCGAGCCGTCCAGCCGCGCCACCTCCACCAACGCGCGCCGCGGGTCCGACCAGTAGACGTTGCCCGCCACCCAGTCCACCGCCAGCCCTGCCGCAGTATGTGCATACTTATATAAATATTCGTATAGTCGATATTAATGTATATATAGGGTTAACGCACATTCTAGCAGAAGAAAATATTTTTATTGCAATACAAAACCCAGGCGGTCCTTCGAGCCGGATGCCATTGCTTTATGTTAAATACGCGTTTTTCTAGACAGGGCTTGTATAAGAGAGAACGTATAAGCATGTATAAGATGTACATACCGGCGAGCCAGTCGTAGGAGTGCGTGTCGAGCGGTTCGGGTTGCTGCACGACGAGCTGCCGCTGCGTGCCGTCGCGCCGCACTCGCCACACGCTGCCCGCCTCCGAGTCCGCCCAGTACAACCAGTCGCCCTCTACAGCATCCGCGGATAAATTTGATGACTCGTACAGATAAATAATTGAATCGAAAATGTTAAAGCAGGCTAGTCACTCATTCTATTTTAGATTACTTTTTAGAAACAATTAGAAGCTCAGGAAGCCGAATGCATAAAATAATTGCATGTAGGCTTATCCGATCTTGGAGGGAGACGACGAAGGAGGAGAGAGGGTGTTTACGCTTGAGAGAAAGAGAAAGAGAGCGTCACCGGCGTGGTAGTCGATGGCGGTGGCGAGCGAGAGCTGCGGGATGGGCGGCAGCAGCGAGTGCGCGGGGTCCGCGGGCGTCGCGTTCAGCGGCACGCCCTGCACCTCCCAGCTCAGCGAGTACACGAGCACGTCGTCGACCGCTGCACACACAACAGCGAGGGACAGTTATCGGCGACGGTCGCGGGCCGGTGTAGGGGTAGGGGTAGGCGCGGGCGCGGCAGGCAGCTCACCTCGGCAGGCGTGGCCGTCGCGGCGGTAGCCGGCGGCGCACAGGCACACGCTGTCGGCCGCCGACACGGGCACGCACAGCTGCGGGCACGGCTGCGAGCGTCGTCCGCACGCGCCCGCGCCGTGCTGCGCGTCCGCCGCGTACACGCGCAGCGCCAGCACGCCCGCTGCCGACACACGCACTCACGCATCCACCACAACACACAATAATATGTGAACAACTTCTGACTGTTAACATCAGTGTAATCTCATATTATTATTTAGAGTTTTGAAATAACTATTCTTCTAATCACGAATTTTGTAGGAAACTTATCACTACCAGACATGTGAAAGCAAAGTACTTTTTCCTACGTTCTTGTGGGCGAACGGTGAACGCTTTGAAAGCCAGCATAGCTGTACGTGTGAGTAACGTGAGCATAGTTACGCGTATTGTTCCGGAGCAGCCGCAGGTGGGAGCCGTCGGTGTCGTTGCAGGCGTACAGCGAGTCGTCGCGGCCGTTGGCCCAGATCACCTCCCCGCCGTACACGTCCAGCGCCGCCGGCCACGCGCCGACCGGCAGCGGCACCTGCGCACATGCACCACCGTCATCGCCTTCACATTATCCCATCGTCACCATTACCACCACTACACTAGCTCTAGCAGTGGTTCTTGTCTATAGTGACGTATAGTTGGGTTTTTGGAATACACACATATACAGCAAATGCATTTACTGTTTAAATACTATGTTAGGGATTTCAGAATTTTAATAAGGGACTATAAAAATAAAAATGATGCATAAGAGATAATATGCATGAGTATCTCTCTCTCTCTCTGTACATGTCTACTACTGTACTCACAGTGTAGTGTTTGCCGGTGTGCCCGTCGAGGTACTGTATGGTGGCCGATGCGGTGTTCACCCAGTACAAGCGATTCTGCTTCACGTCCATCACCATTCCTGCATATTGATTAAATATGCATTTCTTAACAGTTTGAGCTAGTCGAGTACAATTTTTTGAAAAATCTCACGGAGGAATAGATCTTTTCCGACGTCTACTCAGATAAAAATATAGACAGAGTGGTGGCAGCATACGCACCGGCGACGTCAGCGAGGTCCGGGTCGGCGTGGCGGTGCAGCAGCGCGCGCCGGCCGCCGCCGTCGCAGCGCGCCGCCTCCAGCAGCCAGCCGCCGCGCCCGCGCCGCGCCCAGTACAGCACGCCCCTGCGGACCGACACTCGTACACAACCCATCCCTTTCCTAATCCCAAAATCCTTCCTCCGACCCCGTCCCCCCATCTTTCAATACGACCATGGCAGAATAAAAAAAAACAACATACCCCAGGGAGGTACCAGCAACCAGATTGCTGGAGAATTCTCCCTCGAGCAACCACGCCCGGGCTATCCTGCGTATTCAGGGGGGGGGGGGGGCAAAATTCCGCTCTTTGGTACCAAGGGCAAACGGAGCAAGATGTTGCAGAAGCTCAATGTGAGCTTCTGCAACATCAGGGGAATACACTTCAACTTAAACGATATCCACCACCACCTTGAAACGACGTGGCCGACATTGCTCTTTCTAACGGAGACACAGATATCCTCTCCAAACGAAACTTCATACCTGATGTACCCGGGCTATACACTTGAACATTGTTTTGTTCCACGTGCCGGTGTATGTGCGTATGTCAGAGAGGATATCTGCTGTCGACGCCTTGGGACTCTTGAAGGTACGGACCTGCCCATTCTATGGCTGCGCGTAGATTGCAATGACCATACCTGCATCTATGCGTGTCTATACAAATCCCACAGCGGTAACACTGAAACCGACCAGCTCATTGAGCACGTCCAAATGGCTACAGATTTCCTACTTGAACAGGTTCCTTCCGCTGAAGTGATTCTTGACGACTTTAATGCCCACCATGCCGAATGGCTTGGTTCACATACAACCGACTATGCGGGAAGATCCGTTCATGACTGCTTTGGCTTATGGTCTGACACAGCTTGTTTCCTCGCCTACGCGAATCCCTGATGTGTTGGACCATTCACCTTCACTGCTGGACTTTCTGCTGACCACCCACCCAGACAACTATGTGATCTCCATCGAAGCCCTGCTTGGATCGTCGAATCATTGTTTGGTACGGAGCGAGGTGCCTCTTACGAGTCCGACTCCACCTCGTTCTATGGGTAGACATCGCATTTGGCACTACAGGTCAGCAGATTGAGATGCGATGAGATGCGGATTTTTTTCGCATCTTACCCATGGAGGCAGGTTTGCTTCACACTGGATGATCCCGACGCCATTGCCGATTCCATTGCTGATGTGGTGCTTCAGGGAATGAAATTATTTATTTCTAATTCTGTGGTGCCCGTCGGTGGGAAATCCCAGCCCTGGTATGGAGCCTCTTGTAGAACAGCATCTCGTTTAAAACAGGAGTGCTTCCTGGCCTGGGCTAAAGGTGTGGCGAGGTCCTAACACCAGTGCCCTTAAAAAGAAGTACAATTCTGCCTCTAGGTCTTTCAAAAGAGTTATAGCCACAGCGAAGTCAGAGCATAGTAGAATTGTATTGTATTGTAGTCAGAGCATAGTAAATACAAGAGATTGGCTAGTTTGCCTTCGGGAACTCGAATTTTCTGGTCTCATGTAAAGGTCTCGCGAGCACATACCGATGAGTGCCGGGATAGACTTGTGTTTGAAATCGAAATATTACTCCATCAAGTTTCGATCTGGGGTGAACAAAATCTTGTCCAATTTAACCCTAAGAAGACACAATTCTGTGCGTTCACCACAAAAAAAGATGCCGTTTGTCGTATCTCCTCACTTTCGAGGCACTTCCCTTGATAAAAAGTCGAGTCTAAGAATCTGGGCGTTGATATATCTTGTGACGTCCGGTCATCTGGAGGAGAAGGCTAAGATAGCTTCCAAAAAGTTAGAAGTGCTCAATAGGGCGAGATGGTATTTCATGCCGGAACACCGCCTGAAATTATATAAAGCTCAAGTCAGGCCGCATTATGGGCAGGAGCGCCACAGTACCAACTCCTTCCGTTAGACCATATTCAAAGTCGGGCAGCTCGAATTATTGATAGTCAACGCCTTACTGTCCGACTTGACCCACTGAAACTGCGTAGAGATGTTGCATTTCTGTGCATCTTCTACCGAATTTATCATTTATTATACCAGTATTTCCGAACCGATACCACAACATAACCTTCAAGAAAAGAGTATATTCCTTTTTAAAAGGCCGGCAGCACACCTGCAATGCCGCTGGTGTTGTGGGTGATCATGGGCAGCGGTAGTCACTTACTATCAGGTGAGCCGCATGCTCGTTTGCCCCCTGTGTTGTACAAAAATTTATAAAAAAAAAAAAACAACGGCGCCCGCGCGCGGCCGGGCAGCCACGGTTTGCGGCGGTACCTGAGCGGGTCCACGGCGAGCGCGGACACGTTGCTGAAGCCGTCGGCGTACAGCAGCGTGTAGTGCTCGCCCTCGAGCCCGCTCACGGCCAGCGCGGGCCCCGCGGTGTAGTACAGCAGCCCCGCCGCCCAGTCCAGCGCGAAGCCGCGCGGCGACACGCCGCCGCCTTCCGCCACCGGAGTCACGCCGCCGCCCGTCAGCCCCGTGCGCTTGATCTCGTTCGCCTGCCGAGCGCACACACACGCACGTCACCATCGGCGAGCTCGGCGGACCTACTCACTGCGACGCGTGTCGCTCGAGACCGACCTCGGTGTCGGCCCAGTAGATGGCGTACTGCTCGGCGAGAAAGTGCAGCTGCGTGGGCGCGGTGAGGTGCGGGCTCGACACGGTGGGGATGGTGTGCACCAGCGGCTGTTCCAGGTCCACGCCGCGCAGCTCGCCGCGCCGCCCGATCAGCAGCACCTTCTCGTGCACTGCGCCAACCGAGAACGGCGATTACTCATGAGCGTCCACCGCGAGAACCCATGCGACGCCAGTGACGCGAGGACGGAAGGTACCTTCGCAGGAGAGGCCGTCGGCGGCGAGGCGCATGACGTGCGGGCAGGCGCACACGCGCTCGCGCTCGCTGTCGATGAGGCACAGGTGCGAGCAGTTGCCGTTGTTCACGCCGCACGGGTTGTACTCGCTGGCCGGCTGCCGGCTCGGGTGGATCACCTGGCGTGTTCACATGTTCTATCACCTATGTTAACTTGTTAACTCTTAATTCTGGAGTACAAATAATTTACTGTACACTTTAATTATTTTAGAGCGAAAATAATAATTTAATCATGTCAAAAAAGGATCAACACGGAAAAACTCTTATATTGTTTATTGTGTAGGGGACCATATTTGGTGTTTCTTTTTTCTGTGTTTGCTGTTGGCCACAAATGACCTTTACAGCTTCATCAACGTATATGCAGGGGCGAGTACAGACAACACTCCAATACCGCGAGAAAGAAGCGACGATAGGCGTCGGCTCTTTCTGATGGACTGCGGCGTGTGCTCAAAGGCGACAGAGTGACTTAGACCTCGGCCTAAGTCACGATATTTCGATCCCCGTCGAGGGACGGCGAAGGGTTGGTACATCGTTATGGATGGGGACTTGAGAGTCGTAGGGATGTGCACGGGCGCAAACCTGGTCGCGCGCGAACCGTGTGTCACGGTGGGTCTCCGCCAGCGGGAATGGTGTGTGCGGTGTGCGGGTGTATCTGCAGGGGTTCTTGACGAACAGAGAGGCGCGGCAGAGAGGGGAATATATGGTGTGTGGTGTGATTCATAGTAGGCACAGTTGTTCCCCGTTGTAGAGTAGTGTGCGCACCTTGATGTCGAAGGGCTGCGTGAGCGTGCGCTGCACGAGCGTGACGTCGCTGCCGTTCCACTTGTTGGCGCGCGCGACGCTGTTGCTGCGCCAGTCGGTCCAGTAGACGTGCGCCTCGAAAACGGTGAGCGCGAAGGGGTGCGCGAGCGCGGCGTGGCGGCGCAGCACGTGGCGGCGGTCGCGGCCGTCGTAGGTGGCGGCGTGCACGGCGTCGAGGCGCGCGTCGGCCCAGTACAGGCGGCGCGCGCGGTGGTCGAGCGCCAGCCCGTTGGGCCAGGCGCCGCGCGCCGCCAGCACCACGGCGCCGCGCCGCCGCCCGGCCAGCGACGCGCGCTCGATGCGCGGCGCCGCCGCCTCCCAGTCGCTCCAGAACACCAGCCCTGTCACCACGCCACCACTACACTCTACGCGCTACTCTCTTATAAACCATCAACTCTAACTAAACTCTCGGCCACGCTCCGCGAAAGATCAATCATTATGAGTACGAGTACAAAAAGTAGCTTTTCATCGCGACAGTCAGCGGCCGAGCAGCCACAGATGGCGTATCAGCGAGAGACTCACCGACACAAGGGTCGACGGCGATAGCGCGAGGGTTCTCCATATCACCGGCGATGAGAGTGCGACGGTACTTGCCATCCAGTCGCGCCACCTGGACAAAGTTAACAACTTTTTATTTATATCATCGTGATACGACGTAAATGAGGCTCCACTGCTGGACGTTGATCTTTTGCCATTAAAAGGAGGATTGATTTATCAACTTTTATGACGCACGACGGGCGGTACCTACGGCATAGTTATATTCCCAGTTTTCTTTTGTTTTATGCACTGATCGTGTTTCTTTTATGTAATTCACGGTAACAACATTATCGCTGTTCCTACAGTTTGATATTTTAGAACTTTGATATTACCTCGATTTGATGCAGGCTGCTCTCTACCCAGTACAGGTTCCCGGCGACCCAGTCCACCGCCAATCCCTCAGCAGTGGACAGACCTTGCTGTACTATAACTTCGATTCCGCTTAATGCTGCAGAAAATGTCTACAGTGAGATACGTAGAGTGCCAGGAGCACTCGCCGAGTTTAATGGCAGTAATAATATGGGTGTAGCGACATCAAAGATTCTAAAACGAAATTAAATTAATATTATGTATTAATATTAAAGTAATATATTTATTTTACTATGTGTGCGCAGCGTGGAGGGGGGAGGGTAGTCGTGCGCGTGCTCGTACCGTTGCCGACGATGGTGCCGCGGTATATCTTGTCGTCGACGACGTCGGTCCAGTAGAGCTGCAGCGCGCCGGAGGCGGGGTCGCGGCGCCAGTCCAGCGCGATGGTGTTCTTCAGCGAGGAGATGAGCGCGCGCGACGTGGCCGCCGGCAGCTCCACGGCGCGCACCTCGTGCCGGTTGCTGTACACCAGCAGCGGCGGCGTGCTCTCTGCGGACACACGGGCGCTGTAGCAGGCAGCCGGCTGGGGGCGGGGCGGCACGGGGCGGGGCGCGGCGGCACGTACCGGTGCTCTTGCAGGTGAAGCCGTCGTCGGCGAGGCGGTAGCCGGGGTAGCAGGTGCAGCGGTGGCGCTGCTTGTGCGGGCGGCAGGTCTGCGAGCACACGCCCCAGGCGGTGCAGGGGTGGCGCTCGCCGCACGTGAGCTGGTCGGGCTGCAGGTGCAGCGGCGCGGGGCACGCGCACACCGGGCCGCCCGGCGCCGGCCGGCACGCGTGCGAGCACGCCGCCAGCGCACACATCGGCTCGCCTGCAACCGCCGCTCCATGTACACGGGCCGGCGTGCTCCAATAGTACATTACTGCAGCGGCCAACAACTGAGGCATTGATGGACGACCGTGCAAATGTGGGCCGAGGCGTAGCCGAGGCACACATACGTGAGTCCATTAATGCCTAGTTGTGGCCAAGGTTTATATAGTACTTTTCTCAAACAATGCGTGGAAATTAAAAACACAATTTTACTTTTTAAGTTCATTGATGAATAACGAACAATAATAATCTTTCACGCGCCATAATGGTCCTTTGTTTTTTTTTCAATAAATAGTTTTCTATTTGCAAGCCAGTTCGAAATTTAAATAAAACCTTTTATTAGTTACCTCCTTGGTAGCCATGTTTCGAAGTAAAAGGTCATTCCATTTTTAAATTACAGGACCGATATGAATATAAATAGTAATTTATCTGGCCGCAAAACACGACAGATATGGATTTCATACAACTTTTGTCGGCCGCTGCCCGCAAGTATCTGGCCAGTACGGCAAGTTTGATTTATCTCGAAGAAGATTGTCAAAATAATGCTCACATTTTCAAGCATGTTTGAGAAAACAAACTATGTCACTCACCGCAGCGGTCCGCCTCGTCGGCGCCGTCGGCGCAGTCAGCGGTGCCGTCGCACAGCTGCAGCAGCGGCACGCAGCGGGTGCCGTTGTCGCAGCGCACGGCGGGTGGCGCGCACTCCGCCTCGGCGTTGGCGGCAGCATCGGCGTCGGTGTCAGCGTCGAAGTCGGCGTCGTCGTCGTCGGCGGCCGTGCCAGCGGGCGTGGTGCTCGTCTCGCAATCTAGCTCGTCGGATGCGTCGCCGCAGTCGATGCGCGAGTCGCAGTGGAACTCCTGCCGGCATCGGACCACACGTGAATGGACAGAGGAGCCACTCGATAGGCATTATTTAGAAAAAATAGTAATAAAAATATATACAAATTTAATACGTCTTTTTATAAAAAGTGCGAGGCGAGACCCCGTGCCGCAGTGCGCCAAACGCCCCCTGAAGATTTTCGGATGAAGTCGAAACAATTGTCGGAAATGACGAAACACAGTGGGTTCGTTAATTTCCCGATATATATTTATGTAGACAAATTTTTATTTGTTTTCTGACACAAAATAAATACTAATTTTAACAATCATAGCACAAACTTTATAATAAATATTTACGGTTCAACTATTAGAATAAATCTAACGATGTCTTCAAATTATCCCCAAATAATGCAAAAAATTCTTTTATAAAAATTGTATAAGAATCAGCTGGCCTGCCATCGTACCTTCCTGATACATTCTCCATTGATGCACTGGTACTCGTGGTCCTCGCACAGCCCACTCCTGTCGTGCTCGTGGCTGTGTCTGTAGCATCCAATTGACAGCTTTTATTACTAATATGGTAATTAAAAAAACACAACTTGCATACATCAAAGCAACAATTTAAAGGATAATAAAACAAATATACACATTATTATGTACAGAATAGGTTTGCATGCGAAATATATTGCATGTATGTTTGATCACTATCATTTGTTTAATGACATATCTTTTTATATCTATCGAGCCGGATTGAAAAAACATCTATCTGCCTTCGTGTCACATGTGTTTACTCGTATATTTAAGTGTAAATCGATACTACAGGACAAAATTTCGGAGTCATTTCGAATAATATAAAATACTCAGCGTGGCAGCACTGACAGCGAGTTGCCGGGCGGGTGCGGCTGCGCGGCGCCGGCGGTGCTGGCGGTGCTGGCGGTGCTAGCGGTGTCTCCAGCGCTGGTGGTGGCGGTGTGTCCGCAGGCGAGCTCGTCGGACGCGTCGGCGCAGTCCGCGTAGCCGTCGCAGTAGTACTCCCACGGCACGCACGCGCCGCTCGCGCACGCGAACATCACCGCGCCGCACTCCGGGTTCTCTGCGCGGGCGCACCCGACCAACGTATTACATACACTTCATAATATGCATTGTAAGGAGGCCAGTAACGACAGTCTAACAATACACACGTTGCAAGGAATACGCATTTTATTTAACAGTGGCGACAAAGATAAAAGTAGCATTTACTGCAAATGACCGTAGAAAAGATCGGAGAATTTGATGTAATCACCAGCGCAGCACGCAGCGCCAGGCGGCGTGGTGCGGGTGGGTGCGGGTGGGTGCGGGCGGTACTCACGGCAGCCGCGCTCGTCGCTGTCGTCGCGGCGGCCGCAGTCGCGTGCGCCGTCGCAGCGCCAGGCGGCGTGGTGCGGGTGGGTGCGGGTGGGTGCGGGTGGGTGCGCTGTCGTCGCGGCGGCCGCAGTCGCGTGCGCCGTCGCACCAGGCGGCGTGGTGCGGGTGGCGGCGGGTGGGTGCGCAGCCGCGCTCGTCGCTGTCGTCGCGGCGGCGGCCGCAGGCGGCGTGGTGCGGGTGGGTGCGGGTGGGTGCGGGCGGTACTCACGGCAGCCGCGCTCGTCGCTGTCGTCGGCGGCGTGCGTGCGCCGTCGCAGCGGGCGGGTGGTGCGGGTGGGCGCTGCGGCGTGGGTGCGGGCGGTACTCACGGCAGCCGCGCTCGTCGCTGTCGTCGCGGCGGCCGCAGTCGCGTGCGCCGTCGCAGCGCCAGGCGGCGGGTGCGGGTGGGTGGGGTGCGGGTGGGTCGTCGCTGTCGTCGCGGTGCGGGTGGCCAGTGCGGGCGGTACTCACGGCAGCCGCGCTCGTCGCTGTCGTCGCGGCGGCCGCAGTCGCGTGCGCCGTCGCAGCGCCAGGCGGCGTGGTGCGGGTGGGTGCGGGTGGGTCGTCGCTGTCGTCGGGTGCGGGCGCCGTACTCACGGCGTGGTGCGGGTGGGTGCGGGTGGGTGCGGGCGGTAGGCAGCGCGCTCGTCGCTGTCGTCGCGGCGGCCGCAGTCGCGTGCGCCGTCGCAGCGCCAGGCGTGGTGCGTGGTGCGGGTGGGTGCGGGTGGGTGCGGGCGGTACAGACGGAAGCCGCGCGAGTCTCAGTCTGCCCCCCGGCCGCATACGCGTGCGCCGTCGCAGCGCCAGGCGGCGTGGTGCGGGTGGGTGCGTGAGCGTGCGGGCTGTACTCACGGCACCCGAGATCGTCGCTGACGTCGCGGCGGCCGCAGTCGCGTGGTCGCGGCCAGGCGGCGTGGTGCGGGTGGGTGCGGGTGGGTGCGGGTGGGTGCGGGCGGTGGGTGCGGGCGGTACTACTCACGGCAGCCGCGCTCGTCGCTGTCGTCGCGGCGGCCGCAGTCGCGTGCGCCGTCGCAGCGCCAGGCGGCGTGGTGCGGGTGGGTGCGGGTGGGTGCGGGTCGGGTCGTCGCGGCGGCCGCAGTCGCGTGCGCTCAGCGCCAGGCGGCGTGGTGCGGGTGGGTGCGGGTGCGCTCGGCAGCCGCGCTCGCTGTCGTCGCGGCGGCCGCAGTCGCGTGCGCCGTCGCAGCGCCAGGCGGCGTGGTGCGGGTGGGTGCGGGTGGGTGCGGGCGCGGGCGGTACTCACGGCAGCCGCGCTCGTCGCTGTCGTCGCGGCGGCCGCAGTCGCGTGCGCCGTCGCAGCGCCCGGCGGCGTGGTGCGGGTGGGTGCGGGTGGGTGCGGGTGGGTGCGGGCGGTACTCACGGCAGCCGCGCTCGTCGCTGTCGTCGCGGCGGCCGCAGTCGCGTGCGCCGTCGCAGCGCCAGGCGGCGTGGTGCGGGTGGGTGCGGGTGGGTGCGGGTGGGTGCGGGCGGTACTCACGGCAGCCGCGCTCGTCGCTGTCGTCGCGGCGGCCGCAGTCGCGTGCGCCGTCGCAGCGCCAGGCGGCGTGGTGCGGGTGGGTGCGGGTGGGTGCGGGCGGTACTCACGGCAGCCGCGCTCGTCGCTGGCGGCGGCCGTGGCCGCAGTCGCGTGCGCCGTCGCAGCGCCAGGCGGCGTGTGCGGGTGGGTGCGGGTGGTGCGGGTGCGGGTGGGTGCGGGTGGGTGCGGGCGGTACTCACGGCAGCCGCGCTCGTCGCTGTCGTCGCGGCGGCCGCAGTCGCGTGCGCCGTCGCAGCGCCAGGCGGCGTGGTGCGGGTGGGTGCGGGTGGGTGCGGGCGGTCCTCACGGCAGCCGCGCTCGTCGCTGTCGTCGCGGCGGCCGCAGTCGCGTGCGCCGTCGCAGCGCCAGGCGGCGTGGTGCGGGTGGGTGCGGGCCAGGCGGCGTGGGTGCGGGTGGGTGCGGGCGGTACTCACGGCAGCCGCGCTCGTCGCTGTCGTCGCGGCGGCCGCAGTCGCGTGCGCCGTCGCAGCGCCAGGCGGCGTGGTGCAGGTGGGTGCGGGTGGGTGCGGGCGGTACTCACGGCAGCCGCGCTCGTCGCTGTCGTCGCGGCGGCCGCAGTCGCGTGCGCCGTCGCGCGCCAGGCGGCGTGGTGCGGGTGGGCGGGTGGGTGCGGGTGGGTGCGGGTCGTCGCTGTGTCGCGGCGGTAGGCGGCGTGGTGCGGGTGGGTGCGGGTGGGTGCGGGCGGTACTCACGGCAGCCGCGCTCGTCGCTGTCGTCGCGGCGGCCGCAGTCGCGTGCGCCGTCGCAGCGCCAGGCGGCGTGGTGCGGGTGGGTGCGGGTGGGTGCGGGCGGTACTCACGGCAGCCGCGCTCGTCGCTGTCGTCGCGGCGGCCGCAGTCGCGTGCGCCGTCGCAGCGCCAGGCGGCGTGGTGCGGGTGGGTGCGGGTGGGTGCGGGTGGGTGCGGGCGGTACTCACGGCAGCCGCGCTCGTCGCTGTCGTCGCGGCGGCCGCAGTCGCGTGCGCCGTCGCAGCGCCAGGCGGCGTGGTGCGGGTGGGTGCGGGTGGGTGGTGCGGGTGGGTGCGGGTGGGTGCGGTACTCACGGCAGCCGCGCTCGTCGCTGTCGTCGCGGCGGCCGCAGTCGCGTGCGCCGTCGCAGCGCCAGGCGGCGTGGTGCGGGTGGGTGCGGGCGGTACTCACGGCAGCCGCGCTCGTCGCTGTCGTCGCGGCGGCCGCAGTCGCGTGCGCCGTCGCAGCGCCAGGCGGCGTGGTGCGGGTGGGTGCGGGTGGGTGCGGGCGGTACTCACGGCAGCCGCGCTCGTCGCTGTCGTCGCGGCGGCCGCAGTCGCGTGCGCCGTCGCAGCGCCAGGCGGCGGGCAGGCAGCGCCGCGAGCGCGCGCACGCGAAGCGCCCCGCGCCGCACGCCGCGCCCGCCGCCGCGCACGCCGCCGCCGCCTCGTCCGCGCCGTCCGAGCAGTCTGCCAACGAGTCCCACACCGCGTTACACTACCGCACTACACACCCCAGCAGAACTTGCGTGCCGTTACGTGCACATTCGTTTATTTATTTATTTATGAATATTAAGGAAAACATAGAGCCTCGTTTAATGAATACGCAGTCAAATTACATCTATGTTGATCCAGATATAATTTTCATATTTACATAATTACACAATTCGTCAGTTTTTCTTCCGCATATTGAAAGGATTATTACACTGCCTAATCTATATAGCTAACAGAACTTCAGAGACATTACAGTGCCAAAGGTCAGCTTAACCTTTATTAAAATAAATTACGTTAACATTTAGTGATTATCTTTTCGTATTTTTACAAAAATCCTACCATTAATATCCATTCATGGTTATAGTAACAAATTACGAATAAAAAAAATGAGAGTAACCTTTGAGTCCGTCGCAAATCCAGCTCTTGGGTATACAACGATTGGTGTCGCACTGCATGGACTGGTCGTCGCTGCACGTCATGTTGGCTGCAACGTTAGTTATAACAATTGTTATTACTGATTTATTTATTTAATGTTTCGAAACAGTAAAAGAATTATATAAATCAATACGTATACACTCAGTCCTACTGTCGTGAGAACGGTGCCCGCTAAAAAAATCATATTATCATATTAAAAAACATGGCATATAGCTAAGTGACAATATTTAAGCGTTTTTCTTTTCCTTTTTTGTTACTTGTTAATTATTTTTTTGTAATTAAGTTTGAAATTAAACACAAAATATTTTTTTTATCTCCGCTTCTGTCGTATAGAGAGTCTCCAATTTAACATTTGAATATAAAAATTACTATTATATAGAAATTATATAATTGACAGAGTAAAATGAAATATAATAATAAGTGTGGTGCGACATGGTGCGGAGTAGCGTAGTGCGGGCGGCTCACCGCACGGGCCGGCGGGCGAGGCGTTCTCGTCGGAGCCGTCGGGGCAGTCCGCGTCGCCGTCGCACACGTACAGCGCGTCGATGCAGCGCCTGCGCCACAGAGCAACCGTTACCGTATGCGTGTGCGGTGGTGCGGTGGTGCGCGGGTGTAGTGGTGCGCGGGTGTGCCGCGGTGTACGTACCCGCGGCCGCAGTGGAACTGGCCGGCGGGGCAGCGCGGCGCGGGCGCGGCGGCGGGCGGCGCCGGCAGGCAGCCGCCGCGCGCGCCGGGCCGGCCGCCCGCCGCGCACGCGCACACGTGCGCCGACGCGTTGCGCGCCAGGCACAGCTCCGCGCAGCCGCCGTTGGCCCGCGAGCACGAGTTCTCGCCTGCCCGACACGCGACACTTATCACGTCCGCAAAAACACAGGGAACGCTCTTGTCGCATCGCTTTTATACTCCTAATATATTGTTTTTGTTAAAACCACTAGGCCCCGAAAACAAAAATTAGAAACGAGACATTATCAGCGAAGCGACATTTATTTACATTACGTGGGACACTTGAGCGCTAGTATTTTCTGTTAATTACAGACATGAACAGCACCGCAACCCGTATCAGTATATTTGATCCTCGTCCCGGTAGATCGTGCTACACGTGAAAGGCGACTATTCGTTCCGAGCACGTGACGATGCAGCACCGGAGTCGCTCGGCGTGTCTCGGCCGGAGGTGCAAAGATGTGAGCGTACCGGTCCTCGCGGCAGCGGAGACGAGCTTGAGGTCGTAGAGCGGCGGCGGCAGCTGGCGCAGCAGCCGCACGCGGCCGTCCGCCTGCAGCCGCCGCACGGCGCCCGTGCCGTGCTCGCTCCACACCACCGCGCCTGCGCACACACACACGTGACTCTGATTGGTTTTTATTAAATTTGTTTTCATGAAAAACATGACTACTTGTTCATACTATAGTAAAATAGCTGGCTCGTTAGAAGGAAGCTATACGAGCGTGGTGGCGTGAGTTACCTTCGTGCAGCGCGAGTCCGTACGGCTTAAGCACGGGCGTGTGCGGCGCGTCGCTCACTACCAGCTCGCGAGCACCCGTCGTTAACACCAGCCGCTCGATCTTGTTCAAGTACGTGTCACACCTGATACATACATATACACTTATTTACACGTTATCTTTATCTTAAATCTTTATAAGTTGATTTTTTAACGACTTCAAAAGAAGAAAGTTTAAATATTTATATGCTTTATACGTCACCAATTTTAATGCCTCTACATATTTTATTGGAAAAAGTTCACTGTTATATAAACTCTATAAAATTTTTGTGAAGATTGATCTCAGCTTTTTGTGTATTAAACTATCAATGCCATCTTGTCAGAGATTGTAGCGCGGTCATGAAAACAGTGTAAATTATTATCCGGCTCGAAGGATTACACTACTTAAGTATATTTTACTGCAAAACACACCAGTAGAGGGTGGCCCCATCAGGATGTAGCGCGAGTCCGTTGGGCCAGTGCAAGTCGGTGTCGATCAACGTCCTGCGGCCGCTCGCGTCCATGGCGGCGGTTTCGATGCGGCCGCGCGCCGACATCGCACTCGCCCACACCGTCCAGTACATCACTCTGATTCACACATAATATCTAGTAAGAATATGCAATTATAAGATAGTAGTAAATGTCCGTGTACGTAACAAGGTCAGATAAGTGGTATATATATATATATATATATATATATATATATATATATATATATATATATATATATATATATATATATATATATATATATATATTTTAATATATAAATTTAATCACTATATAGTCTCAGGAAATAAATTAATACTCAAATGGCCATGATCTAAATGTACAATTAAAAATATAAACGCTGTAGAACTTTGAAGATACATTCATTCGTGGCTTTGTTCATGCCGAAATCGGCCCAGTAAATGGAGCTTAACATTTCGTTCGACGACAAATCCTAATATATGTAAATGTCCGAAGGAATTAAATTTTAACATTTTTAATATTTATCTAAACTTCTAACATCAAATTAGTGTTTCTTTCAGTCCCGAAATTTCGGAAAACATTTCGTGGTAGGTCCTCTTAATTAAAAACGATAAAATATATTGCATGAAGTAAGGATCCACTGTGCAAAGGTCGTTGACGTTTTGACTGGACGATCTATGATTTGGATAATGCAGCGTACGTATAGTGCGCGGCGCGTGTGTATGCGTGTGTATGCGTGTGTGCGCGTGTGTGCGCGTGTGTGCGCGTGCGCGTGTACGGACCCGTTGGCGGGGTCGAGCGCCAGCGCGCGCGGGTTGAAGTTGGGCTCGTCGACGAGTACGCGCTGCACGCGGTCCGGCCCGTCCGCCGCCAGCCGCGCCACGCTCACGCGGCCCAGCGCGTCGTCCGTCCAGTACAGGTTGCCGCCTGCACAACCACAATATAACTGCAATGTATAAAGCAGCAGTTAACCAACAAAATAAATTTTCAAATAGGCTAATGTTAGAATATAATCATAAAATTTCAAATATTGCATGTGACTAAGAGAATAAATTCGCGACAAATGTATCGTAAATAGTTGCAATAAAATATGATAATGTAAACACTAGTCACTTCCGGTGAAAACAATGCGAGGATCAGAATGATATCAATAAACTACGAGTATAAACAAGTTAGAGAACTGTAACCGTGTATACGACTTTCATGTCCCATGGTTACAAGCAGAGTCTCACCCATCCAGTCGACGGCGAGCCCCTCGCAGTTGTCCACATCCTGTCCAATGAACACTTCACGTTCGCTGCCGTCCAATTTTTGACGAACTATCTCGTATCTGCAATACGTGACCATTGTCAAGAAAACAACATATGTACATATAATAATGGAATCTCAGAATAGCTTGGGCCGCAATGCATGGAACAATATTAAAATAATAAATGAAGGTTGAGTAATACTCGTAGTGTGGGAGGGAGTGTATGAGCAGGGCTGCGAGGCCGAGTACCGACTTGTGCACGTCGCAGTAGTAGAGGTGGCGGCGGCGCAGGTCCAGGTCGGCGGCGGTGGGCCGCGCCGCGTCGGCGGCGGGCGCGGCCACCTCGTCGGCGCCGCCCGCCGCCAGCAGCTGCACCAGCGGCGGCGCGCCGCGGGCCACCACCAGGTAGCTGTCCACCTCCGGCCCTGCCGCATCACTTACAAATTAGCCGCCTCACACTGTATTCACTCCCATCCGTTGCCGTGTCTAAAATATTTTACTGTCCAAAACTACTGTAAAAATATTTTACTGTAAAAAAACTAGTAAAATCTACTTTTAAAATTTTCTTGATTCTGATAATTTATTCAAATGCTGAAGATGGAACTGTTTGTTAATATGTAGATGTGTAACTAAAACTGAGGGCCTACCATGAAATGAAATTCCGAAATTTCGGACTGAATTTAGTGTTTTTGTTTATGTAAAATTGGCCCAGTAAATGGAGCTTAATATTTCAATTGTAATAAATTCTACCATAAAAGTCCAAAAGAATGACATTTTAACATTTTAAAATGGTATGTATATGTAATTTTAACATGAAATGTGTGTTTTGTTCGGCCCTGAAGTTTTGAAAAATATTTCATGGTAGACCTTGATGAGCACATGTAGTGTAGTGTAGTGTAGTGTAGTGCGACGCGGTGCGGTGTGGTGCGGTGTGGTGCGGTGCGGCGCGGGGCGGTGTAGGGTGGCGGTGTACACTCACGGAGGCAGTCGCCGTGGCCGGCGCGGCGGTATGCGCGTACGCCGTCACGCAGATGACATGTAGTGTAGTGTAGTGTAGTGTAGTGTAGTGTAGTGTAGTGCGGCGTGGTGCGGTGTGGTGCGGTGCGGCGCGGGGCGGTGTAGGGTGGCGGTGTACACTCACGGAGGCAGTCGCCGTGGCCGGCGCGGCGGTACCCGTGGCGGCACAGGCAGTGCGGCCGCGCGGCGCCGTGCGCGTAACGCAGATGACATGTAGTGTAGTGTAGTGTAGTGTAGTGTAGTGTAGTGTAGTGCGGCGTGGTGCGGTGTGGTGCGGTGCGGCGCGGGGCGGTGTAGGGTGGCGGTGTACACTCACGGAGGCAGTGCCGTGGCCGGCGCGGCGGTACCCGTGGCGGCACAGGCAGTGCGGCCGCGCGGCGCCGTGCGCGTACGCCGTCACGCAGATGACATGTAGTGTAGTGTAGTGTAGTGTAGTGTAGTGTAGTGTAGTGCGGCGTGGTGCGGTGTGGTGCGGTGCGGCGCGGGGCGGTGTAGGGTGGCGGTGTACACTCACGGAGGCAGTCGCCGTGGCCGGCGCGGCGGTACCCGTGGCGGCACAGGCAGTGCGGCCGCGCGGCGCCGTGCGCGTACGCCGTCACGCAGATGACATGTAGTGTAGTGTAGTGTAGTGTAGTGTAGTGTAGTGTAGTGCGGCGTGGTGCGGTGTGGTGCGGTGCGGCGCGGGGCGGTGTAGGGTGGCGGTGTACACTCACGGAGGCAGTCGCCGTGGCCGGCGCGGCGGTACCCGTGGCGGCACAGGCAGTGCGGCCGCGCGGCGCCGTGCGCGTACGCCGTCACGCAGATGACATGTAGTGTAGTGTAGTGTAGTGTAGTGTAGTGTAGTGTAGTGCGGCGTGGTGCGGTGTGGTGCGGTGCGGCGCGGGGCGGTGTAGGGTGGCGGTGTACACTCACGGAGGCAGTCGCCGTGGCCGGCGCGGCGGTACCCGTGGCGGCACAGGCAGTGCGGCCGCGCGGCGCCGTGCGCGTACGCCGTCACGCAGATGTGTGCGCAGCCGCCGCGCTGCCGCGCGCACGGGTGCTGCACTGCAACACACCACACACATTCGCATTTCAGTATTTATATCTATTAAACAAAAACTGACTACTAATCGATCAAGAAATTATTGTCTCTCATTCTCGTAACTTTTGAGAGACTTACTAAGGCCTGGAACGTTACAAAATTGTATTGAAGTGATAGTAATGCGGCTCAGCTCGATGGCACTGAGCGCCGTAGGTACTGCGCACCTGCGGGCTGGCGCTGGCGGTGGTAGACGAGCGCGGCGGCGGGGCGCGCGTGCAGCGCGGCCACGTGGCGCGGCGGCTGCGGCCCGAGCCGCGCCACGCCCACCACGCTCGAGTTGTCCCACAGCGGCAGGTACAGCGTGCTCTCCAGCAGCGACATCTGCTGCAGCTTCTGCGTCTGCCGGGACCAGTACCACTGAGCTATATACACGGTTGTTAAAAATAAATGTCCTTTTATTTACTCGATAGCTTTAAAGGGATTCAAAATCCCAAAAATCTAAGGTTAATTGAAAAGTCGCATAATAATCTAGTCACTGAACAACTTCTTATAGCGCCGCCTGCTAGTGTAGCGTAATGTGACGCCGGCCGAGTACCGTAGGGCAGAGCGGTGCGCTATACGAACCACGTATCCCCTGCGCAGCGGCTGGTAGCGCAGCGTGCGGCGGCGGCGGCCGTCGTAGTCGGCGCGCTCGATGGTCTCGAGGTAGGCGTCGAGCCAGTAGAGGGCGCGCGCGGGCAGGTCCAGCGTGAGCGCGGACGGGTACACCAGCTTGAGCCGCGCCAGCGCCGTGCGGTTGCCGCCCGCCAGGTCCGCGCGCTCCACGCTCGGGGCCGACGCTCCCCACACCGTCCAGAACATGAACCTGCACGTGCCCACTAGCAAACTTATTATTGCCCAGCAACACGACCCTATTCTGACCCTTCCCTATGGTTGACTGAGAGAGAATACTTTTAACGTTAAGTCCACCACGTACACATATGGTACATGCACTAATGAATAAATAAACAAATGTGCTCGGTATAATTAAAAACGTAATACTCGAATATAATTAATTAGTAATATAATTTAGTAATAATATAATTATAATCTAGTAATATAATTAGTCACACTCGAGTTGTGAGTTACTAATATTTATTTATTTTATTTTCATCACAAACCACCGCTGACATCACCAAGTTTAATTCAGTCAATCTTTAGTGATTTGCTGCTGTACCTTTTACTATTTGGAGACAAAAAACGTGAATTATGTCAATAATGTATGTAATACATACAGTGAGAGACCAACTGAGAAGGCATTTTTTTATTTATAGTCAGTTTGAATAACTATTGTATGGATAAGAAGGCCATATTTTAATCAAATTTATTGTTACTTTATATTTTATTCATCATTATTTTATTTTATTTTTGTTTTCATTCCTCTTGTTTATTCATTTTTTTTTGTTAACTCCTATTTCTGTTGCTTTGTGTACAGCGCCTTGTATCTATATTGTTGCTACTTGTGAAAACCTATTACTGGCTTATTGTGTTATCCTAAACTGTATCTTTTTGCTAGCCCTGGTTTTCCTATGAATAAATAAATACATGGATCGCTTGGTTGGTAAACGTGTCACGTGTGGAGTCACTAACCCGACGGTGGGGTCGATGGCGAAGCCGTGCACCTTGTCGAGGCCGGAGTCGAGCAGCAGCCGGCAGCTGGCCAGCTCGCGCTCGCACACGTACAGCGCCTCGCGCGCCTCGTCCACCAGGTACCAGTTGCCCGACACCCAGTCGATCGCCATGTGGCTCACGGCTACACACCCACAGGAATGTACTCTTTCTTTACAATCTGTTATCGCTCTACGAGTGCCTTACACACAGTAATAGTAACCGTAATAAAGATTTATTATACAAGTTATAGACAAAATATTTTATATTTCTTCTTTAATATATTATAGATGCAAATTAAAATTGTTATCGACACTATTACAACAAACTGAAAGTGAAGTGTGGCGTAGTACCACATAGTGTGTGGGGTAGTGTGGCATAGTGTAAAAACTGTGTGGTGTGATGGAGTAGTGTACTACGCTATGTTGTAGTGTGGTGCACCGTAGTGCGGAGTAGCACCGCGAGCGGTATACACGCGGAATGACGCGGTGTTTCGTTATAAGACTTACAGTTGACGTCTGGAAAGAGTGCGGGCGTGGGCAGCACGGTGCGGCGGCTGAAGTCGTCCGCGTCCACGCACACGATGCCCGACTTGCTCAGGTTGTGGTGCACGTAGCAGATCGTGCTGTGATCGTATCGTAACACGGCACAAATGTTACTATGATATATATATATATATATATATATATATATATATATATATATATATATATATATATATATATATATATATATATATCTCCAACAGTATGTGTGTAATATTATAATGTTGTAAATATTACAAAATAATAAACGAGAGAACTTCTATGTTTCTACTATACATATGATATTTTTCAAATTATTACTTATTATTATTATTTTATATTATTGGTATATAATATGAAGATGTAAACAAAATTAAAAATATATCTCATTTGAAATAAATAGCGTATAATATTAAATAATATATTTAAATAATAAGAAAGCAAGAAATAAAGAAAGAAAGAAACTTTATTCTACAGAAGTATGCGACTGCACCCACACAGGGGTTAGAAAAAAATATTTAGAATTATAACGACGAAACTACACACAATATTTATATATATATATATATATATATATATATATATATATATATATATATATATATATATATATATATATATATATATATATAAAAATAAAAAAAAAAAAAAAAAATAAAACAATGCGTATTATAAAATACGTATATCTACATAAGTTATTTTATTAGAATAGAATAATTGTGACACATGTCAATAGATATTTCACATATATAAAAATTCGAACTAGCGACTGGTGGCCAGTATATAACAGTCCTCCGCCGCTATTCTGCACTGCTGGACTCCTGGAGCCGGTAACAACTGCTCCACGTGCCTACGCCACACAGCTCCCTGGTCGGTCTGTACTTCGTAGTGCAATCGTCCCAGTCTATTTACTATATTGCCAAATTCCCATTTTGGCCCGCGTACAGAGTAGCTTCTAGCCTGGACCCGGTCACCTGTTATATACATTTGTTTGACAGGAGGCCTGTTGTTCAATTCAGCTACCGCTAGTGGTGGTGTGGTACGGAACATGACATGGAGCTTGGTTCTAATGTCTCGATTGAACAGAAGCTGATATGGTGTTCGACCATTGGAGGTCGGGGTACGTCTGAGTCGTGTCTTAATGGTCAGAAGTTTATCATTAATGTCACCCCTCTCCCCCTCCATTGCACGTAGCGCCCTTTTTATTGTTTGTATATAGCGCTCCGCTTGGCCATTAGTCGCTGGATGGTAGGGAGCTGATTTTGAGTGTTTTATACCACAGTTGGAAAGGTAACAGTCGAATTCTTGAGATATAAACTGTCGTCCATTATCTGATACTAATGTATGTGGTATTCCAAATATAGTGAACAGTTCTTTCAGTTTAGTAATACACCACGAACTTGTAGTAATCTTAGTAGGATAGATTTCAACCCACTTTGTGAAGGCATCTATGACAACTAAAAGTTGGTAACCCTGTACAGGTCCGGCAAAGTCGATATGCAGTCGTTGCCAGGGTTCTGTAGGTTGCTCCCAATGGTGTAGTGGCGCTTTTGGGGGTTCATTCTGTTGTAATCGACATGCTCTGCAAGATTTTACCTTGTTTTCAATATCTGTGTCTATATTTTTCCAATATATGTAACTGCGTGCTAATAATTTCATTTTAAGAATACCAACATGTCCTTCGTGTAGTTCGTCAAGTACACGGCTACGTAGGCTGTGCGGTATTACAACTCGGGTTCCTTTCAAAATGCAATTGTCTTGAAGTGTAAGTTCGTTATCGTTATAGCCATGTTGTCGTACTGAGTGACCTGTTTTTAGTGCTTCCAATAATATTTTAAGTTCTTCATCTATTTTTGTTTCTCTAGCTATAAGTTCTGGTCGGACATCAAGCGTATTAATTTGTTGTTGTTGGAATGTGCAGTGTTGATCTCTAGAATTTTCTTTTACATATTCCACTGGAAATCTTGATAAATAATCAGCATTTGAATGTTTTGATGCCGGTCTGTATTCTACATCGTAATCAAATCCTGATAGAAAATGTGCGTAATGGAACAGTCTCATTGTGCTTAGGGCTGGAAGTGTGTGGTGTGGGTGAAAGATTGAGGTAAGAGGCTTATGGTCAGTTATCAGTGTGAACTTCCGACCGTAGCAGTAGTGAAAAAATTTTTTTATACCCCAAAAGATGGCTGTAGCTTCTTTATCGATTTGACTATATTTCTTTTCGCTAGTTGAAAGTGATCGAGAAGCAAATGCGATTGGCCTTTCAGATCCATCCTTTAGTTTATGAGATAAAACAACTCCTAATCCTGTTGGAGAAGCATCCGTGGCTATTATCAATGGTTTTTTGGGATCGAAATGAATGAGTACTCTTTCACTCAATATCTCCTGTTTAATTTTATTAAAGCTTGTCTCACATTTGGAGGACCATTGAAATTCCTTTTCTTTCTTTAGTAATTCATTTAGGGGATTTGTTATTGAGGCTAAGTTGGGTATAAATTTATTGTAATAATTCGCCATACCAAGAAAGGTTCTTAATTCATTTACGTTTTTTGGTCTCTCTGTTTTCATAATGGCCTTCACTTTGTCTTTATTTTTATGTAGTCCATCTTCATCTATTATATGTCCTAGGTAATTAATACTTCGCTTAAAAAAGTTGCATTTTTCTCTATTGACGCGCAGGTTACTCTCTTTGAGTTTCTGAAGAACTTGTCTCAGTCGTGATAGGAGTTGATCTTCTGAGGTTCCTTGAATAATAATGTCATCAAAAAAGCATTTGACTCCATCTAGTCCCTGAAGTAATTGATCCATAAATTTTTGCCATAGGCTAGGTGCTACCTTAACACCGAACATCAATCGATTTACTTTATAAGTTCCCTTGTGTGTGCTTAACGTTTGTAGAAGGGCGCTTTCTTCATCCATTTCTAAATTTAGGTAGGCTTGTTTGATATCTAAGGTACAGAAGTATTTCCCTCCATTCATTTCTGCGAATATGTCTTCAATTATGGGGATTGGGTATTGTTCATCCTTGATACATTTGTTAAGGGTTACCTTATAGTCTGCGCATAAACGGATAGTGCCGTTAGGTTTTATGATCGGTACGATTGGAGTTCCCCATTCCGCATGGTCCACTTTAGTTAAGATTCCTTCTGAACATAGTCGCTCTATCTCTACATCAACTTTTTCCTTTAAAGCATACGGTATACGACGAGGTTTAATAAATATAGGTTGTATATTATCCTTGAGATTCAGATGAGCTTGGTAATTTGGTATTTTTCCTAAGTCGGTCCTAAATACAGTGTTCGTATATTCTTCTAATAATTGATCAAGATTCGTAGATGGTTCTGAATTTCGTATTATATTGATATCTGATAATTTTATTGTAAGTTCTTTCATCCAGCTTCTGCCAAAAATTGCGTCAACGTCTTGGTTGATTATATATAATTTTCCATTAAAGGTCTGATCTTTATATGCATATTTGACGTAAGCAACTCCTGAGGGTTTAATAATTTCTCCAGTGTATGTTCTTAATCTCATATCAGTTTTGAATATTCGGTTTCTGATATTCAATTTCTTGAATTGTTTCAGGGATATTGATGACAATGTTGCTCCAGTGTCAAATTCCATATTGATTGGTATGTTCTCAATTTTTATTGGGATCATGTATTTTTCTGATATTTCACTTTTCATGAGATTAATATCCCCCGTGTTGTCATCACTCGTATTACTTGTCGTATCATCTAATTTATTCATATTTAGGTTTCTTTGTAAACAAACACGCGCTAGATGACCCGTTTTGTTGCACTTCATGCAAATGGATTTTAGAGCACCACATTCTTTAGACTGGTGGTCATTTTTTCCACATCGGTAGCATTTTCCTTTCAATTCTTTTATTGTTATTGGTAGTCTTCGATTTTGTATTTGAGATGGTGATGTATTAGCATAATTACTTTTATTTGTTATATTTGTAATTCTATTGAGGCTGTCAGAATATCTGTGGATGTCTGTAGACATTCGTATGTTTTCCGATTTTCCCATTTCCATGGATGTAGCTATTTGTACCAATCTCGTAAAAGGTGGAGTTTCTCGGTCTTGTAGGATTCTTATTCTTATATCACTGTCCTTCAATCCTCGGATAAATTGCAGTGATATAAAGCTTTCTAAGGTTGGTTTATGGCAGTTTTGACATTTGAATTCACAGTTGTTGGACAATTTCTTTAATTCGGAGGCGTACATTGCTACTGTTTCATCCTCTTTTTGTACCCGTGTAATAAATTTATGTTGTAATGCCCATACACTCGGTTTTGGATCTATGTGGTCATCCAGTGTACGAGTAAGTTCTATAAAGTTCATATTAATTGGATCCTCAGGAGAGCATAGGTCGTGTAACTTTTCATGAAGTTCAGGAGATAACGCCGATAGTAATATATATACTTTAATTTTAGGGTCTTCAATGTTGTTTAATAAGAAATATACTGTTAATCTTTTCGTAAAATTTTTAAAGGTTTCCTTTTCTTGAAATGGTTGAAAGTTCATTTTGGGATTTCTGTCTTGACGTGAATTGGTGCTCGAAGGTGATGGGGATAGCTGTAGTGCTGCGGTGGGTTCGTGATTTCTGTTTTGTAGTATCAAAAGTTTGGTCTTTAAAATTGTACATTTCTCTTCAAAGTCGTACCTTGTTTCTATTTCTTCATTAAGTTGTTCCTCTGGTGATTCTGTTTCTATTTCGTGTTGAATTTCTTGTAATTTTCGTAATGTTTCTTGAAGTGATTGAAGTCTTGACTGAATTTCTTCTTGAGGGATTGTTTCGTTAGTCGTGATATAATTTTCTAGTTTTGTGAGTAAACCCCGTAGCGAGGCTCGTGTTTTCTTCAATTTTTTTGTATCGATAGTTGACATCGTCGCCAATTTATAAAATACGTATATCTACATAAGTTATTTTATTAGAATAGAATAATTGTGACACATGTCAATAGATATTTCACATATATAAAAATTCGAACTAGCGACTGGTGGCCAGTATATAACACGTATAATAACAGTTTCATCCAAAATAACGTCCAGCCTCACCCATTGGTGTAGTCGAAGTCGACGGCGCGCACGTTGAGCGCTGGCAGCGAGGCGTTGCGCGCGGCTGCGTGCGCGTGCGCGTGCGCGTGCGCGTGCGTGTCCGTGGGTCCGTCCGTGGCCGTGGCCGCGTCCGCGGGCGCGTCCACCCACACGCGCTCCACGCTCGTCTGCGTCACCACCACCAGCGACAGCGGCGCATCCACCGGCTCTGCACATACCGCACCTCTATCATCCAGTGATCAAATGCAACTACATCGTCGGTTCTCATCAATTTTTATAAATTGCTATTCTGTTACGGACGACTCCAATTGACGATTAATATTAAAAAAAAAAAGAATTATTATATTTACTGGTACAAATAAAATTATTATCGAGAGTTACACTGTATTAACAATAACAATTTACCTGGCCAGGTTTTAACTCATTAGGAATTATAATTCGGTATCACAGGTCTGTAATTTAAGTTGCTGTATTTTGTAAAAAAAATGTAGTACACATATTACTAATGGTAGTGGAGGGGGAGAGGTGGTGGTAGTGGTACCATTGACTGCAGCACAGGAGGTGCCGTCGGACTGCAGCACGTAGCCGGCCACGCAGGAGCAGGAGTACGAGCCGCGCGAGTTGGTGCACAGCTGCGAGCACGACGTCTCCAGCGTGCACTCGTCGAAATCTGCGCGTACGCATACACACACGTGCACACAGAACGTATACAAGTTTTCGTTTATAACAAGAGTGCAAATTATGATTAATGACGCCACAGATTACGATTAACCTACATCTGAACGCTTGTGACACTACATAAAATACTGATGTCATGCGGACCCTTACGACAAGAAATTTTTGAGTCAAAAGTTCTAGGAACCTAGAATACTACAGAAGACTTTTAGCCGTGCCTACTACGATTTTGTCATGGACAATTAGGATAAAAAATATCCTTGTGGTAATGTAGGATTAAGATCCATTTGAGTGCTAAATTCTATTTAAATCGTTAAAGAACTGAGAAACGAACTTACATATTTATAAAATTAGTAGAACAGTGTACTGTGTCTGATTTTTACACATAATAAATTACATTTGAACAAATCTAAATATGTTATGTTCAGTTTGAGAGTTGAAAAATATTTTATAGCTAGTACAGTATTAGAGACAAATAACTTATTTAGTAGAGTAGGTGCGGTGCGAGGGAGCGTACTAGCGCCCGGTACTGACCGACGCAGCGGCCGTCCCGGGGCTCGTAGCCGTCGCTGCAGTAGCAGGCGAGCCCCTCGCGCGTCGGCCGGCAGCCCGCCTCGCAGCCCAGCGGCGAGCACTGCGCCTCCGTGACTACACCATACGAACACTTGCATTATTATCTTTGCGGTATTAACCAACGCCAGTGTTAGGATAAAATATACAAGTAAATAAAATGCAAGCATTATTAAAATTTTAGAATATAGAAATAGAATAATAGAAAGGAGCATTGTGCAATTGTTTTGCTCGATTGTTATCTTGTTAGATATTTGAGCAGCAATCACTCTGTTAGACAGTGCTGATGGATACGAATGTAGGTGTAGTGTGGGGTGTCATAGTGTAATGTGGTGCATCTTAGTGTGGTGTCGTGTAGAGGCGGGCCGTAACGTCGACGTACAGTTGCCGCAGATGTCGTTGTACTCGTCGCTGCGGTCGGCGCAGTGCGGCGTGCCGTCGCAGAAGGCGGCGATGGGCGCGCACGTGAACTGCCCGTCCACGGGCTCCGCGCACCGCGCCCAATTACCCGGACACTTGAAATCCTCCTCGCCTACATTACACAAAGTATTTCGTCAATTTACTAGTTATAGATCGCGACTTTGTCCTCGTAAATTAAAGTAAAAGAGCTATATAAATAAACATCGTTATAGTACAACTTGTGTCCCCTTCATTATGTTTTAAAGGAGTAGCCACTTAGCCTCATAATCGATCCATTTTGTGTGACAATTCATTTAGTCTAGATAATCTAAGCAGTTGCAGATCAGACAATGTCTTAGTTTCCGCAGGCCTCAGAAAGTTATTGTGTCCAATGATGAATCACACACATTAAACGTGGATGTCGTTGGTTCCGGAGAAACCTTGGAGGAACTCCACATTGCAGTGTGTAGGGAAAACTTAATGCTTTAGTCGACAGTATACTCACACAAGTGCGGGTCCTCGTCGGAGTGGTCGTGGGGGCCGCAGTCGGGGTCGCCGTCGCAGCGCCAGCTGGCCGCGATGCACAGCCCGCTGCGCGCGCACCGGAACTGCGCCGCCGCGCATGTCGTGTTCCAACCTACACCATTACCACATTACACAGCCTCATCCCCATAGATTATCTTCACGCCGAGTCCCTTGAGCGGTAGGCAGAGAGAACGTACTACACAAGGCCTTTTATCTATATATACATGTGTTCATAATAACGGATCCGTTCTTATGTTTAGCAACTTGTTTAATATAAAAACATACCTATTTTCGTCAGTTCGCAGACTGACATCGTCATGTGTTTAAGACAGTCGAAGAGAAATCAAATTATTTAGTTCCGTTTCGGTGTATAATTTGTCATTATATCATCAGGATATGTCACAACAGCCTATACACCAGTATGGGCAGTGTGACATACGTACCCTGGTATGATGATATATCGGGAGCGCGAGACCACTCAGTTCATTTATAAAAACTTTAAGAATATTTTTATACTTTGTATTGTCCTTGGTGATGTTGTTCTGTCATCAATTAACAACGGACCTCTGTGCTCTTTCACTCCCATGATACTGAAGAGACAACTAAAGGAATTCAGCGCAGTGCAGGAAAACTCGAAATAAAACCATACAGTAAGCAGCCTGTGCAGTGCTAACATTACCTAAGTTAATATCCTCCTCCTATACCCATAACGGATCCCTATAGGATACTGATGATACGTCTGCAGTAGTGGACTCTATGGATTGTAAATTACTGCATTTCTAACTGGATAACCATTATCAGTGGTCCAACGGACACGTACGGAGAGAGCGGCCCGCACTGTCATGTAATGGTTCTGGATATGTCAGCGGCGCTGGGCCACCGGTTGCTCTATACCAGGGATTCCCAAACTTATTTTGTCTACTGCCCACTTTGAGAATAAATTATTTTTTAGCGCCCCCATTTTTTCACCTACTTAAAAACCACTAATACTTTAAATTAAATGAATCAATTATTGTGTAAATTATTCAATTTTTTCAGGGTCTCTTACCGCCCCCCTTTAGGCCTGCGGCGCCCACAAGGGGGCTGGTGTAGACAGTGTGCACTAGTACTAACTGCAATCGATCTCGTCGGAGCCGTCCGGGCAGTGCGGGCGCGCGTCGCAGCGCCAGGCGGCCGGCACGCAGCGCGAGCCGTCCGCGCACGCGAACTGTTCCGCGCCGCACGACGCGCCCGCGCTTGCCACCGCCTCGCCCGCCGCCCCTGCAGCAACACAGCCCTTTATTGTTGCATATTGCACTGTGCAATAAGGGGGGCAGGGGGGCAGGGGTCCAGTAATTAGTAATATACCACAGGGTCCGCGCAACAACCCATCGTGGTTAATTTAAGATGTGCTAAAAGGAAACTTTGTAGAAAAATAGAATCTGGAAACTCTAGTATGGCAACCTATGTAGAGTGCCATAGACGTCGTAGTATAATGTGTAGTATCTATGGTGCTGTTAAGTTCCTAGGGAACGATTATTATCTCCAACTTGCTTCCATTCAATTACTATGTTGCATAAAAAATACTTCTTGACTGGCCACTGCGACATAATGGCCGTGTTTTTACAAACGGTCAGTGATCACTTTTCATCTGATTGTCCGCCATTAATAAATTGTGTAAAAGAACGAAATAAGGATGACATACGTTGTTTATAATTTTCCAACTATAACAGTAGTATTGTTGTAGCACTTAAGGTTCAAAAATGTTTTTGCTTGATCTGTTTTAGAAATTAAAATGTCACGTCTTCTTACTAGGTACATTGTTTTATTGCGAACTGAAGTAACAATCCCTTTTTCTAATACTTATAAAACATTAGGTGACGCCGTGTAGTGTGTTTGTGTGCGTTAAGTATAGGTGTATGGTATATCCGTATGGATTGGTGTGTGGACTGTTAAGATTACATAATTCCTTTATTTGCCGTTCTAAACAATATACCATAATTAGCTACGACAAGTATGTAGTAGCCGGTCGCATGTACAAATTAAGTGCTTAGTTTGTACATCCGACTGAATACGAGCATTATGCCCGAGTACCTTAGCACAATAACACTGCAGCTGTCCCGAGGAATGTACAACTGAAAAGCTTTTCAAGCGCATGCCACACAAAGAGCTAAACTACCTTGACTTTGTTTAGCTTAGCGGACGTCCAACTATGAGAGATCAACAAAAAACTATGCGATCCAAACTTCTTCTTCCTACCCTTATCGCAATTATTATATAGGGTCGGCGTAATATTTTTTTTTTAATCCATATTACAAAAAGATTTGGCTTGGTTTTACGACTGGCCGCTTGCCTGACGTCAATCCTCTTTGGGAACTATGCAATACAATCTATCAAACTAAAAAGATTGTGTTTGACAAAAAAAAACTTTAAATGTAACAAAACCAATTATTTTGATTTAAAAACTGAAATACTGAACCGATTTTGATAAAATTTCTATGGAAACAATCTGCAAATATTATTTTAGACAAAGAAAAGAATTCACCGTGTGGACCCGGCAAAGAATAGGCCACCTCTTCCTTTCCCGTGGGTGTCGTAAAAGACGACTAAGGGAGGGCGGGGGATGGGCAGCGTTCTTATTAAAACATCTCCAAGGCCTAACTACGGTAGTCAGTCTATCCTGGCGGTGCACCAGTGACGGGTTATATATGAGGATGAAAACGGACTTGTTAGCCCACCGTAACGAATTAGTCAAGAATTAACCACGATGTTTTTCAAGAGGTATAACCTGACAGGATATATTACCAGGCTGTATAGGCATTTAGACCCCATTGCTAACAATCCCTTTTTCCGGTCAAGTCAATTAGCTAACATGATGATCTCACATACATTTAAGCACGATTCTTTTTAGGAAGGCCCGTGTAGAGGTCGCCCAAACAGTCTATTATGTATTGTTAGTAATAGAACTAGTAGCTAGTCCCCATTACTAACGCTCCCCCTTGTTAAACAAAGTTAGTTTCGCTTAGCTTAGCTTTCACTTTCACTCGTACTTTAGACGAGGACCGGAGACCGTACATGTTCATAGTTAAATCGTCGAATTTCATTAGGTGCTTAGGCCCGTTTCATTTGTAGAGGACGCCCGCCCGGGCCGCACCGCGACGTATTTAGTATTCAAAGCACGAGGGAACTCGACACTCATTCATGCAAATTATTTGTATTACACGCGCCGGCCGCGACCTACCCTGCATGTTGATTGTTGATACAGTTCGACGCATTAGTACATTATTAGCTAATCAAACAATTATTCACACCATTGATATATGGTATGACCAAGATGCATAGACTTAAAATGACACTGAAAAAAAAGAGTGCATTCAGCCACGTCATGTTACCATTCGGTTTGTAGCCAAAAGTGATAAAATGTTTTAATTTTTTTTTATAAAAATGTAATAGCTAGAATTAAATTAATACCTACTGTCAATAACGCATTTTCCTCATAGGTATCATGTCCTATAATAACTATTTATTTTTTAACCTATTTAGGAGCCCAGTTCTAAAACCACAACTACTGTACTTATTTAAAATTATAAATTAATATTAGTACTGTGACTTATGAAACTACAGTTATGTTTTTACGAATAAATCTCACTTTATTTTCATTTCATTTTATTAGGGACACTTTCTATGACAAATATGCCATTTACTGAAAACCACAAACAATTGGACTTCTATTATAACAAAATTAGTCGACACAAAAGAATCCTCTCCATTAAAAGTATCCATCAATCATCATTTGTTACGTTTGTTGGTGCGCGCTGTATATGTAGCAGTATAGACATACTCGTACCTACTCGGTACTAGTTTGGGATCTATTTGTTGCCCTTGTTTTGTGCTCTTTGTCGCCTTTATGTTTTATGTTTATTGTTTGTATTTATTCTGAGAGGAGTGAAAGCGTGTCCTAGAGATGTCGATAATAAAGATACCGTCTCGGCAGTTTCTTAGTAATACACTGTGTGATAACAAACAGCGCGGCAGCCGAGCGCGCACCCCTGACCCCCCGATAAAGTTATCAGCCGCGTCCGCGACCGACCGCACACGGACCGCTACATAGATCATTATTAATACATATCTATTAATTCCTTCCATTGTTAATCATCTCCCACACAGTCGTGTACTTTGAGTAATTAAAATATTTTAGTAAATATTATTCCATGTAGTAATTTTTCTCCTCGTATTTTACACAGGAGTGCATCAATTTTCATGCATTTTGTACTGAATGTATTTTTACTTACATGTAAAGGTCGTGACGTAGAATCTTTAATTTAATAATAATAATATATATTCGTAACTAATCATAATAAAAATAGATGTTTTATCTCATTGAAACCATTCCACTGTGTTTTTATGTACTTGCCACCATGTTTATTATGTATTTTTTTATTTTCTTTTATTTGGGACACAAAAAGTACAATTAACATAAAAATATTACGTGATAAATAGTTAGTAATCAATAATGTGTTCTCTAATAACTTATATACATATATTTTATATTTTGCAACGTCACCTCAAAAAGGTGGACATTCGCCGGTGCCTACATTGTCGTGTAGGTATTTCACGCGATGTTCCACAATTCCGAACCGATTTTGCAAATTGTTTTTTCAATCTAGAAGCTTGTAGAGCTTCTAGATTGAAAAAACAATCAATCCCATATTTAATTTTGTATGTCAGTTTTTTCTTGTAGAACAGCTTAAATTAATGCTTTATACGACAAAATTAAAATAATCGTTCTACTTGTCGGACAAAAGTTCCACTAGCCTAGCCTAGGTACTTACGATACTACTATATAGGAAACTCGCTGTAATATAGTGTTATAACAGAGAGTTAGGTAAATATAAATTACATATAACTAGTCTGGCCATAAATACTGTTACATAAAAACTTTTCTTTTTTCAACTTTTTAATTACTTTGAATTTGGAACACGTTTATTATTTTAAAAACTTTTTTCGATTTCGCGCCATTTCTCATATGTTTTCGTGTTCATTATCAAATAACAAAAAGGAACGGGGTGTTAAAGAAAACAAGATTACAGTGATCGCCTTGCACAGAGTGGGTATGGAGCCGTCGGTCAAAACAGTGATTCTACAAAATAAAAATATAAAAAGTGGATGGTTGTTTTTTGGATCAAAAAACACACTGTAGTCTGTATAAAAGTCGAAGGTGGCCATTTCGAATAGAATATTTTTTTTATTTTTTGCTGAGACTTTAATAAATATATAGGTAAACATTTTAGTAATATTACATTAGTTCATACAAAATGTATTTTCATTTGCAACAAAACTTAAGGCTGAACTAGGTACTTTAATAACTATATCTTAATGTATAATACGACTATACAACAGATATGATACAAGAGAGTGCTTCAAAAGATCATATCGACCGCGAAACCGCAGCATCCAGTCAGTTTCTTTGTGGTCGCTATCTCACATTACCACTCACTGTCCTTTGTTCATAATGAATGTAATTACGTACTATATACATATATACACGAGTAATTCGTACTAACTGATCAAACACATAACACGTATTAGAGACAAATACTAATATTGTCATGTTAAAATTTGTAAATACCTAAAAGGACAGATATTCATGGAAGGGAGCAAACACCAAGACGACTACAAGACGCTCAGGCTGTGGGATGAGCTCCCTGCCGAGGGTTTCTCTAGAGACTGCAGTATGGTGTTCATCAAAAAGAATATATTTATTAAAGTGTCTTCAGGGTCGGCAACGGGCACGTGACACCCTTAGTGTCGCAAGCGGCCATAGGCTTTTTTTTTGTTTTATACAACTTAGAACGACAAACGAGCTGACGGCCCACCTGATGGAAAGTGGTAACCGTCGTCTATAGACATGAGCAGTACCATGGATATAACAGAGTATACTGTTTCGTCCATGATACCTACCATGCGTTGCTATTTCTGAGGACTCAGGTGTTATTCCTCTGTACCCAGTAAATTCACGCCATATCCCACCCTTTGAACCGAAACACAGCCATGCAAACACAACTGCTTCAAGGTAGAAACACGAGTGGGACGGAGGTACCTAAGCAATCGACTTTTGTACAAAGTCTCCCTCTGGTGAAGGCAACAGTGACCGTTTACCATCAGACGGGCTGTACGCTTGTTTGCCACCTTGTGGTATAAAAAAAATAGTAGAGATAATTAAATAAAATAAAATAAATTTCAGTATGCAATGAACGATTGAACTAGATTTATTATTTTTT